TCAACCCATGCCCATCACCATACTCATGATATGCCACCTTACCTGTGAGAAGTAAGGATGACTGATCTTCCTTCTTGGGTGATTGAACGAATCAAATCCCACAGAAATCGTCGAGAATGTGGATCCATGCCAGTTGTTGGTTCATCCTAAGAAAAAAAACAAAACAGAAAAATGACAAAAGCAGAAAACACCTGCAATTTCAGGCCCCAAGGATATGCAAATTTGCCATTTTTTCATTGAAATGAAGTACATTCAAATACTAGCATGCTCAGTTAACCTAAGTTACATGTATTATGCAGTACGTGAAAGGACAATCAATTGTCCATTTATGTTTCACTTACAACAAATCCCATCAATTACTTTAAAACCAGGATTAATGCCATGGTTGTAGCCATTGACATGATAGCTGTGTATTTTCTCAGTCAATAATTGGTCACTCCATGTAACTCACCATGAAAATTACTGGTGGATGACCAAGCAGTGCTATAGCTGTTGACAGTTTGCGTTTATTTCCTCCACTGTAGGATCCAGCTGGCTTGTTAGCATACTGAGTAAGAGCTACTCGACGCACAGCCCAGTCAACAACCTACAAAATAAACAGTATTCATAAAAACAAAACCATTTTATTATTACAAAACAGGATTTCACCCTGCGGATGCTGCCATACACTGAATGCGGAAAATTTTCAAATCTGTGGTTTCATTTTCAAAACTTAGCAAATTTGCATATATTACATGTAAGCTTTGCCTACATAAGACTCGGAACTAAATCAACTGTACCTTCTTCTGTTGCCTTGTTGGAATGCCTTTGAGCCTAGCATACAATGTCAGGTGTTCTCTTGCCGTCAATTCATCAAATAATGCATCAAACTGGGGACAATAACCAATTAAGCGTTGTACCTTCAGCATGTCCTTATACACACTGCATGGGATGAACAAAACCAGTAAAGATCTTCAAACTATTGAAAAGCCAACTAGTGGTGCAGTTTGGCAGAGGTATATTCCTTTAAGGATAATGTAAGTCAAAGCACAACCAAGATATACATGTAGTTAACCGAGTGACGAACTTCACTTGAACAGAGAATGGTGGAACTAATCTAGATGACAGTTTGAACCAAGAGCAAGGGCTACAGGTGCATTGACGGTACTTTAACATCCTCATGATCATTTGGTAAGTAGGTGCAAAGGGAACAAACAAATTGGAAAAATAAAGTGGCCAAAATTGCAATCATAAGAGAAACCAGTGAAGAGGGGATTTTGCAAGAATGAGTGGACGAGGGTCATTTAAGCACAACTGCACTGTTCAGCAATGACTGGTGCAGATTTACATGAATCACTATTCACCTGTGTCCATTTACGTATGCATCTCCTTCAGTGATGGATTCATCCCCTGTCAACATCTTGAAGGTAGTTGTCTTCCCAGCTCCATTCACACCAAGCAAGCCAAAACACTAACAAAAATCCAGACAAATCCCTTGGATGAAATTACCGAATTTACCTACCTATTCATTGAGACTAGGCAATTTATGTTTCACTGACAGTAGAAGCCTACACTTCAGGTACTACTGTTACTACTGTCTACTGGATGCAAACCAAAATTTATGTGTGCTATCGGGAAGATTTTTTTATAAGAAAAATCTTGCCCTCACAGAAATTTTATCTGAGTGCGTGGTTCCTACAATTCAAGAAGAAGAACATATGTGTCATTTGGAATCTAGATAGTGTTGCAAACAAGGTGACAAGAGCATCACCTCTCCTTGGGGGACACCAAGACAGAGTTTATCAACAGCAAGATGAGATCCAAAACGTTTCGTCTTGTACATCTGGGTAAAAGAAAATTACAATTGTAACAAAAAATCAATGGAAATGGATTATGAAAATTTTTCAAACACAGGATGACATTAACTGGATGCCTAAAATGACAAACAAATAACATCCAATTCAATTCATCACATTAGAAAATAGTGATTTGCTTAATAAAGGACAACATAACTTTTAAATTTACCCTCTGTATCTTCACCATGTTATAAGCTTGAGACTTGATATTTGACGTGAATCATAAAAACCTAATCAACATACAGTTCACCTTGGACAGGTTTTTGATGCACAGCACATCATTCTTGGCTAGGCCAAACAAGACTCTCTCTTTCTCTTCCTTGACATCTTCATCAATTTCTGAATCATCCATCAAAGAACAGTTGGAGGACTTCTTCCGTCTGAGGAGGAACAATATTTCAAATCAATTTGAACTTGTACTAAAGATTCAAAAACATTCATTTACTCAAAAAAGAAGGGTTTTAGCATAATTTAATTTCTTGATTTTAGAACAGTTACAATTCAATTGTTTCTTTTTGAGATCTCTGTTCTTTTTTTATCTAATATTTCAGCAACCACAAAGTGATTCGGCAGGAGATAAAAGGAGTCTAGAACAAGTTTCTCACAAGATCATTGCTTCTGAGATTACTCACCTTGGTTTGATAAAGAAACGACATTCACAGAGCAATGTAAAGATGAACGCAACAATTCCTTCACATCCCATGATCACAAAGATACGATACAACAACTCCCACTGATAAGGGCTCTGCATTTCATCCTCCATTCCTTCCAAAGACAAATCACAAACTTGATTTCATCAACTTGATGGTGTTTCAATTTTAAGAGAACATTTCTCAAAGGCAAAAGGAACAAAAGTTCCTCCGACAACCAATGATGCCAATAGACCCATAAGATAAAAATCCATTGACAAGATACCATTGACAAGTTTATTTTGAAATAATACAAAACATAAAGAGTGTGTGATAAACTTCCACTTGGCAGAATTGCTCAAATTACACTGTAATCGACCCCTTGCGGTTGGTACTCGGTAATAGTTCCTTTAACATGGCAAGGAACCATTGAAGTGCATGAAGTGCAACCCCTCCATTAGCTGCATTTACCCACATCTATAACAAAGCTTCCACTTTAATGCATACTCATAAACAGATAGCTACTAGTGATGGGCACGAATGCAAAACTGCCCATCACCAAAACGGCCTAAGACATGGTGGTTTGAGTCCAACAGAAGTAGGAGAAAAGACATCATGTTGAGATGAAGTAAACTGTGCTAAGCAAGGAAGAAACAGAAGTTGAGATAAAAATTTAGAGTGGAATGATTTTTGCAGTAACTCACCTATCATGTAGTAGTATTCATTCATATACTCATTGAAGGACAGATCCATGAGTGCTTTTCCAAGACAGTAGTTAGGAAACAGTAGGAACAGTTTGTCCAGTTGGGTGTAAAGACTTGCTAAATCCTACGCAGAAAGAAACATGAATTTATAAAGTTGAACTGCATACTTATTGTATATAATTTTTCAATATAGAAACTATTCACTAATGTGGGATCAATAGTGTGCATTTTGACTGAAAGGAATGGCCAACCTGAGAGAACAAAGATTCATTGGTGAGCTAAAGACTTGTACTCATTACCACTAAGAAGGTTGGGATATATTTCTTAGGGGCAAATCTTCCCTTTCCTCTGATTTATTTACTTCCTCCCAAAACCCAAACAAATTTACACCACACACCTCATCATTGTTGAAGATTTCAAGGATGAAGGTGGTAATTAATGATGTTACTCCCGTGAAGAGATTCAAGACAATTAGAGTCACATAAGCTGAACTGGACTCGGAGAATAAGAAAGATGCTGGGTACATGATGGGCGTCATGGAAAACCTGATGGATTGACAAACAGAAAAACCAATCAGACTTTAACTGGTTGCCATGGAAACTGTTCGTGGACAATGACTAAAACTTGTCATTTACTAATGTAATGTGATGTTGCACAAAGCAGATCAACCAAGTACATATACTCAAGGTGAAATTCACAATCACTTCCAACATCCATGTTAACACACCTGTCTGTCATAATCTCTCATGACAACAGGTAAAACAAGCATACTGATGTATAGTTGTGTGCATATTTACATGATAAGTCTAAGCATTGATGGGGAATAGTGTCAAGCTGACAAAGTCAAAAAGTGCCCTCAAATATTTACACATTATCAAAGCCAATCAAGCACCTTATTTCTGCTCTATTTCTTAACATTGGTTCACAGGACAAAGGTTTTCTGACTCACCCATACAGGAGAAAGAGTGTGATGACTCCAGGCAGGTTAGTATGAGAAGAATATGCAGGCACGTCAAATAATATCAGGATCAGTACACAACATGTTGCTGGCAATAAGTAGGCCATCTAGCAAATCAAATACAAATTATTTAGGATATCAAGGAATACAAGGAATATTAAAGCGTATTATGATTAGGATAAAAAATATAGCTAGTGTTAAATAGGTTATCTAGGGAAGAATAGACAAATTTGAGCGATCAGTTTACATACTAAAAATAAAGTGAACAGTCTTAAGATGAGAGGCCTTTGCTTCAATAATCTCTTACCATATCCCAGATGAAGTTGGATGCCCAATAGACAACTGGTCTCATTCCACTCACATATTGAAGATGCTTGGCTTTTGTAGAACGTTCAATAACCAAGAAAACCACAAAACCAGCAGGCACAAATGACATGGCAACAATGATGAAGATGGCAATCAGAACATTGGTTGACTGACGAGTACTGCAAGGAAAATGGTACTCCAAAATTTAACGGCTTATCTGATTTGTGCAAAGTTAGTTGGGACATTAATTCCAAGAAACCAGGATCCTGATCCATGTCTGAAACAAGCCCCCCCCCAAAAAAAGTTTTTACTTATCAATTAACTGGGGGGAGGGTGATTTATGCACCATTTTTTAAGGATTTGCAATCAAAGAAGGCCTAAACCTATATACAAGATTTAGATGTGGCTAAAGAGAGAGGATCTCATAAAATGTGTCCTCATATATGCTCACTTTGCTCAAAACTAATCCTAACTGAAGACATAAACATTATTAGTTGATTAACCCCTTGACGACGGGAATTTCTTTCCAAAAGCCGACTCCAAGAATTCCAGCCTCACTTGGCCACAAAGGCCACCTGCCCAACCGCAAATTCTCAGTTTGTGGCCCTGCATGCTCAGCACCCTTTGAATTACACAGTGAAAAGGCTGATTGTTGGGTGGCATGTGGCTCTACTCACGCTGCCACATTCCTGTTGCCTCTTTTCAAAGTGGGGACTATTGTGAAGCTGGTGATTATGATGCAAATTCAGTATTTTCATTTCTGGGCTACACCATGTTTTCACCATGTTCGCTTGAGCGTGGGCCAAGAATAATAGCTGAAAAGCAGGCTGAGGATCTCAATTTTTACGGCGGCTCTATCTGCATCCCAGCGCGAAAGGGTTAACAAATTTAGCTGCATCAACTCACACAAATTCATCTTCTAGCTGCCATCCCGTCTTGTTGACTGGATGATTGATAACTGTAATTCCATACGCCGATGGGTTGCCATGGATATCAGGGTCAAGGTTCGCTCTCAGGATAGCATTGTTCAGGACATTGACAAAAGTAGGTGGAGAGTGGTATCCCTTATGACTGAACCAAGCCTGTTTTAAAAAAAAATTAGGAAGAGTTATAGATATTTACTGGCATGGATTCAACGATTAAAAGATTCAACTTATCAGTAATTATGAGAACATACCATTCATGTAAATACATCATACAATAAGCATGACCAAATAGATGCTTACGATTGCAGCATTTCTGACTGCAATTGAGCGGTATGTATCAGGAACGATGTTTCCATACTTTGCTGGTACAAAAGTCCGAACATTCCCGAAGGAAGTACCTCCATACCTGTACAGATTCCACAAATGAATGAAGTCAAAGCTTATCCAGTTTCTTCCAACCATCTTTGTCAGTGAAGTATTTCTAGAGAGGTTCAATGTCAATATCATACCTTTTCAGTCGGAATTTATCTGTGGTATACAGGAGATATTCTGATACGTTCCTTCCGCTAATATCCAGAAGTATATCACTAGTGATAACTTTTAGTTTATCTGGTTCTGGCAAGCCAACATTTGGCGGACAGATAAAACTGTTGCCATCTGCTGAACATCTGCATGTCTTCTCTTTGATGTAAGTCGTACCTGCAGGTTCTGTGAAATCAATTAGGAAATCAATCAGTTTGTAACAAGTGCCTGGAACTGGTGGGGTTACACAAGGACTAAGCAAATATTAACATTTTTTGATCCAAAGAAACATAACGTCAAGCATCAACTATGAACAGCAAGTACGATGAAAGGATTCCATTCATTAAAGGGAACTTGGCACTGCAATAATCATGAACTTTTGTTACACTGATGTTTAAGGAACCAAATTACAACCTTACAGATTTAATCTCACTTTATGAAACAAAGCATTCTGTGATTTGTGGGTTGATCAGTTACAATAGAACTGAAGTGGTAAGTTTTTGCTTCAAGCTGAAGGATGGGAAAGCTTATTCAAAGAGCTGATATACAAGCACAGTACGGGTGCAATAATAAGATACTGCAGGAGAAAGCCTGTTGTCAAGTTGAGATTCCATCTAGAATTATTCTATTGCATTTTTGCATCTGTGGAGCACGTACATTTACCTTTCTCCTGTGTAGAAAAATCACCTGCCATTTTTTGTACGCATAGATGACAAAGCTCACAGAAAATTCATCCTTTCTGGCAACAAAATGTACTCATTGTGCCAAAGAGGAAGATTTTCCATTTAGTATTTATTTACTATTTTGCAGTTGTATAGCTGCTGAATTTTAAAGTCTTGATGGTATCAATTCTTTTACTTGCATCAATGACATCCAGCCAGTTTTCCGACCAATGACTGGCAAAAACTATGACTTTGATACAGTGAGAGAAAGGTCCACAGAAAATGCACTTGATGCATACAAGCAAGCCGAATGACAAACCATTCCTGTATGGTACTTATCTGCAGGGAAAAGCTTACTGAAGAGCTTGACCAGAATGTCAAAACTGAAGCATTTGAAACGGGATGAACAATTAGGAATCAAAGGGCTAATAATACACTGAAATATAGCAAAACAAATCCCGATTTGGATGGACCAATGACTAAACCAAATCGCATATATACAAAAATCATGAAAATATCGTGTCAATGAATGCAGCTATAGGGAAAGAAATGCAGCCACGTGGAAAATAACAGCTACATGTTGAAAAACTCTCTGACATTGGCAATACTTGACTTCTCATCAGTTATACACTGAACAAGCTAGAGAGTGTTGCCTTCAGACAGAAATTTCTTATTTGAAATATCATCAACGTATAAATCAGTGTTCGAAATACTGAAGGGCAAAATCTTCCTTATTCCTAAGGAGCTCAAGTGCAGTGACTGGTTACACTAACTACACACAACCACAAACTATTTCCTCTACTTGGTAACCTACATGAATACATTTGGTGTTAGAAATATGTTCAATTTTTAAAAGGATCAGTAGAATTACTACTTTCACTCTGCGACTGCTATGATAAGACAGTGGTTTTCAGTAATATACCCAGTTGTTGTATAGTTGACAATCTATCACTTGAAACAATCTGGTTCACAAGTGTGACGCCACTTTAAACCATGCCCACTGCACATGCACTGCACATAGGGTTACACACATTGGTTGCAGTTTACATGGAACCGTGGAACCGGAACTTAACGCGTAACTTTAATGATTGTCCAATAAGAGCCTGCAAATTGTGGCATGTCCACCTTTGTGATAAAATCAATTACGAACCAGATAGCATCATTTGACATTTAATTGCGGTATTATGGTATTGATGTTCTAGTCTTCACATCTAACAGTATGTAAACTGAATACAGAGAGTGATACATCCTTCCACAAGGTTGACAAGAAAAAAGTAAATCATTCTGCCATTGGATGATTTAAATCATCTTGATTTAAATCACTGATTTAAACCCCAATTTAAATACAATTTTTTTAAATCATTGGTTTAAATCAACATATTTAATTTTGGGTGGGAAAAGGCAGAAATGTTTCAATTTTTGAATTCTTCTTTGCTGATTGGAAATGTTTGCAGGTTTTGCACATTTTAAACAACAAATCCCCCCTCTGTTACACACCATCCCGGATGGCAAGATTTTTTGTTCAATTCAATCCACTTGTTATGATTTAAATCAGCTTTTTGGATTCAGTTAGTGAATTTGATGCAAAGGATTTATCATCATGATTTAATTTTACTTCATTTGCCTGTTTCAGAGTTTCACATGGTAAAGTATCAGTGTACAGTGTACATCTACCTTTTATACACAGGTACACATGTATTTTATACACAGGTACACATGTATTTTGTACACAGGTACACATGTATTTTATACACAGGTACACATGTATTTTATACACAGGTACACATGTATTTTGTACACAGGTACACATGTATTTTATACACAGGTACACATGTATTTTATACACAGGTACACATGTATTTTATACACAGGTACACATGTATTTTATACACAGGTACACGTGTATTTTATATACAGGTACACATGTATTTTGTACACAGGTACACATGTATTTTATACACAGGTACACGTGTATTTTATATACAGGTACATATGTATTTTGTACACAGGTACACGTGTATTTTATATACAGGTACACATGTATTTTGTACAGAGGTACACATGTATTTTATACACAGGTACACATGTATTTTGTACACAGGTACACATGTATTTTATACACAGGTACACATGTATTTTGTACACAGGTACACATGTACATGTATTTTATACACAGGTACACATGTATTTTGTACACAGGTACACATGTACATGTATTTTATACACAGGTACACATGTATTTTATATACATGTACACATGTATTTTATTGATATCAGAAATGTTAATTATGCAGTGTAACTAAAACCACTAAATACCCTTTAATAAATGCCCTTCATAAAGTGATCTTTAATGAAGCCTAATTTATTGCTCTGTGGAGATGGATCACAAACAAAATGAGACTTCTTTTAGCACACACAGCAAGGTAAAATACCAGTATTTTGTACCAACATATAGCACATAAAATAAATACATATACATGTTGTTCATGGCATGTTTCCCATTCATTAGTTATTTGATGCTTGTATAAGTACCCTGATAACAATTCTTGTTTTGTCATAACTTTCTCCTTGGTACATGTTCATGTATATGTACTTGTCTCTGAAGTGTTTTACACTGCATGCATTTCACCAAGGCTAAGACATGGTGGTTTGTGAATGTAATCAAATTACTTGATTTAAATTTCTTAATTCAAATCCAAATTTGTTTAAATTTGAAGCAAACAAATAAATAAAAGAAAACTATTTGATGTGCAACTAATTGCTTGCTTTTGAATAGACAATTGAGACAATTTTTTTTAAATAAAAAACATCAACAACCCTGTTCTGCATTACGTATTCATTACAGCAAAACCTGTACTCATTACAAAAATTTATGCTGGATTCCCCCCTCCCATTTCCCAAAGACCCATCTATCCCCTCCCCCGACAAAAAAAAAGCGTTTACTCATCCCCTTCACTGAATATTTGTTGCCCTCAACCTTCTTGAACTATCAAGAAAGACTTTGTTGCTCTCTGATACACAATGTACCAGGTGGCTTTGAAATTCAGCTACAAAACCACAAAAAGTTAGTATGAAAAATGAAATGTGCACAGAATGCAAACCACACCACATGCACAGAAGGTCCACATTACAAAGGCAGAATAAAAGCTTTGTTTGCAATTATATAAGGCACACTGCAGTGCAGTAAATACACAGCGCATCTACTCAGATGTGGAAGTGCTTATCCAGTTCCATTCTATCTGTAATACATTTAGGGTTCTTCAAATTCTTCACTAGTTTCATGTTAAGATGGATCAAGAAACATTTCTCAAGTTTAAGCCATCACACATCTCAACTAGAAACTGAAAGCACTCAAGCCAAAAGTTCACTGCATTTTTCCACTTGTGCCTTTGCAACAGGCATAACTCAGTTTTCAGATATGGCACCCCTGAAGTTAATCAGTATTCTTCACTCGCCAAAATTTTTGCTGTAAACTGGCCTGGGCTTGCACTTCAACAAGGAAACTTTGGAGAATTTTAGCAAAATACTTACTCTCAGAAGTTGCACCACCATCTACAACATGGTCCACACAAAAGACAGGGAGAAAGCAATTTCAAAGACAAATAAAATGTTAAGGGAATAATTCAATAATAATCAGGGTCAAAGGTAAGGTTAAACTACCATAGTATCATGCAACAGCCCAAGACACGCATTTCATGCATCTACATTTATAGACTTGTCATACTGATACACAGGGGAATAAATTGCAAGACATACATGTACATAACAGCAGTCCCTTCAACTCAAGTTATCAAATTACATTCCAAGGTTTTTTTAGTAGCCAATAAATGCTTTTTACAAAACTAGCCACAGATTCTACTGCCTGACTTTTCCCAATAATAATTTTCAAACATCATTAATTGCATATGAAGTTAAATTCTTACTTTTGCTTCTACCATAAATCTGCAAAAAGTTCTTGTCTGAACTGAAATGGTTCATAAACTAAGATACTCTTTTTCATAAAAACCCATTACAGCAGGTGGACAATGAAATGTTGAATCTTTTGCAAAAGGCATTAAAAACATTAACACAATTACCGTCAACTTCCATGGTCTACTGTGTTTCCATGGTAACAAGGACGTTGTTCAAATAATGACAACATTATCACAAAACACAGAAGTACAAGTTGAACAAGGCTTATAATGTACGGACTTATAACGTACGTGTATGACTGGTTGAAGTGAACAAGTGTGTTTGACAAGGTCCAGTTGATGAAGCATTGCTGATTGTGATGGTTAAAAAGTTCAATGTTTTGATGGTGTGTGGAATGACAAAGTTTACTTGAGAATAAAAACCAATGTGATGTGTTTTGCTGAAATGCCACTGATGGAGGATGGGGATTTTTGCAAACTATTTTGTGCACGTTCAGTGCTACTTCATATGACTCTCTTGGAGCCAATGAAGATTTGATAATCAGAGTACAGCATATAAATGCTCAACCTCCACAGGAAAACGAAAAGCTGCCTGAGTCTGAACTTTCTGAAGGTTACACTGTTAAAGTCCTGTCAGAAGAGAATTGCAGAGGTCCAGATTTGAGAGTAAAAGTGAATAACAGCACACCATGAGTCATACCATGACATCTATATAGAGTACCAAAGTGTGACGTCATTTAGAAAAAGTAAATGCTGGACAAACGAGTGGAGTACATGTGTGCATTGCTTTAAGAACTAGTTCTAGCAATAATGCTTTTTATACACACATAACTGTGTGTGTGACATTCACTTCAGTACTCTATATCATGGAGACAGTCCACACAAGGTAGTCACTTGACCTGAGGACACAAATGAGTTAGTGATGTCTTGGCTCAACTCAGGATAAAAAAAACTTTTTCCTGGAGAGAATGTCTTACCATCGAACTCTGCCTCCTCAGGTGGTGGTGGCTCATGAGGAATCTCAGGCACATAGTTTGACAATGGTTCTCCTTTCTTAAAGGATTCCTCACACATTCTATCAAAGTATTTGCCTCTAAGATTGACACTGGATGAGTAGTTGTTGGATTGGACAAGTCTATCCAATGTGCCATTCCAAGGTGTTTTGAGAACACAACTTGCTCCAATGCCAGCAGGGTATCTGTTCAAAAGTTGTGACATTTAAGATAGATAAGCACAATGGTTTCCTTGTCTTCTCTCTCTGTTGAATCCAGTTCGAATCCTGCCAGTATCCAGTATTGATGACGCTACATGTTATTTTTCTTCAACATAATTCATGAGATGAACTTGAGTTCTTATAATGGTCAGATTGATTAAATACACTAGATTTCAAAATCTGGCCACTACCAATCATTCAAGCTTTGTGGTTGACTAGTTTAAACACCTGTCCTTGCAAACACAAGTGACAGGTTCATATCCATTTAATTATTGTAACATATTCTAAGGCTATCAGTGGTTAAGACAATTGTACCAGCAAACACAGGTCCAGTCCTAGGTCCAGGTCTTCCTTAAATTCTTCTTTCTCAAAAACCAGTGATTGCGCGTTACATTTCCTTTGATTGTGATAACTTAAAACCTCACAATAATCAAATAATGCACAGCACATGAATGTAACTCTCACCTGAAAGTGGATGTCAACTGTGTTGGATCAGCATCCCCATCGACAGAGCGGTAGATATGATAAGTCCTCCGATTATTCAAAGCTTCATTTGCATATACTGAATATGTATTATCAGGATAGGTCAAAGGGTGGTACTGTGATGGTGTCAGGACTAGTGGAGGAAAGTTGCCCACTTTAGGAGCTGAGAGAGCGACACTCATTGCAATACAAACAAAGAATGCTGGCAGGATAAGTTGTGTGAAGAGACTCTTGCAGTTATGTCTTGTGTAGTGGAAACGTTTGATCATCAAAGCTTGAAACTGGCTGAGTTGAAGCAAAATACCAGTTAATAAATAGGAACTGGTTCCCTCTAAGTGATCAGTGCATGCTGTAATCAATGAAAAAAAAGAAAATACATCCATTAGAATATTATTCAGGGACTCTTTGCAGTGTAAAGTAGTAGCACTCACTTCAAAGTTTGAAAGTTCTCAGTTGGAAATCCTTGTACATGTAAGTCTCTCATGAATATTATGTGTACTTACTGTTTTGTTGTTCCTCCTGTGGGAGTGCACTGTAACCTCCCCTTGTCTGTGAATGGACCTGTCCTGTGGAGACTTCACCTGATACAGTGCTGCTGCTGCTGTTCAACACACCAACATTGGACAGTTCCACTTCTACTTCAGGTGTAGTAGTTGTAGATGGTTGTGTCGGGAGGGGATAGTTCTCCGTGGAGTAATCAGATAATGATTCTCCATCTGAAAAAAAAAAACCTTTAATTCACACTCTAAAAATTATATTTGAATTTTGACAAATCAAAACTGTTAACGGTAACTTCAGTGTAATGAAAATGTCCTCAGAATTAACTCTCCCAGGTTTTCCTATAAAGAAGGAAGAATTTCACGTATCTTCCACTGTCTTCCCCTTTCTACATTGCATTACACTGATTACATCACCCATCAAGAATTCTCCATTCACTACAACGAATGGATTGCATTGTAAACCTTTAATTGAACAACAAAGAGTTATTTCCTTACCAGTTTTGTTCACCCCATACTTGTCAGCTACCTTCAAGAAGACTTCTTCCAAAGAGGAATCCATTAACCCATATCCTGACAGGTTTAAAGATTCCAATTTCTCTTCTGTCAAATCTTCAAATAAGCCTTCCAAGGTTCCTTTCCCCATGGCCTCTACAGGTAGCGTGTAAGTCAGCTCTCTCAAAGTCTCAGAGGAAAGTGTAGCTCTGGTAACATGCTGACGGATAAATCCGGTAACATCTTCAGCACGGCAGTTGGTTACAAAGGAGTCATTTCTTTGAGACTGTTGTGTTGTTTCTGTGAAAATGTACATGTAATTAAAAGGAATTTACAAAACAGAAACTAGGAGGAATGATAGAAAAACCTATGACGGTGTGGTAGAAAATGATGAGTTCAACTGATGTCATTAATTGGTTCTTACCTTCAAGTGTTTGTGATGAGCTTGAATGGTTACAGTTCTCAACCAGTGAAGCAGGCTTCTTGATTAGAGTTAACTGGTACCCATCACCAAATGTTGCCTTGAGAAACAACGAGGAACCAATACACTTGAGTTGACCGTTAGACAAGATGGCAATTCTATCACCAAGAATGTCAGCTTCATCCATGTGATGGGTGCACAGGATAATCGTCCGACCTGCACATTTTAAATGGAAATAAAATACAACTTTTTTTCTTTGAAATGAAAGAAACTGAAGATGGTCGAGTCCTCGTGCTTCCAGCATAAAAGTTTTTCTTTAAATACAGATGACAGAGTGAGGCTTTGTTTTTATTTTTGTCACTGAAAAAGGTAGCTTCGCTGTCTTACCTTGCTTGTACTTAATGAGTAGCTCCCAAATAGCTCGACGAGCACATGGATCGACTCCTGCAGTCGGTTCATCAAGTATCACTGTTCGAGATCCACCAACAAATGCTATAGCAACAGATAGCTTACGCTGCATTCCACCTGACAGAGTGTTGACAGAGCTATTGCGTTTTTTCAACAAACCAATGTCCATGATCATCCTGAAATTCAAAGAAACCTCAAAAGATCACTTTTCCCCATAGAAAACACACCGATTTGCCTTAAAATATTCATAAATGATGACAACTGATTTACTATTTCATAGCAAATTCCAGTTCATTTTAGAAGTTCAAACTTAAAATCTCACTTCTGTTCACCTGCCTGTTTAACAACCAAGAACAATGTTAACAAACACACTGCCATTACATCATTTTTTTAACCTACTTGGTCATTTCAGACTTGATGAGTGAGCTTGGAACTCCTTTTAGTAGGCAATAAAACCAGATGTGCTCCTCTACTGTTAGTCTGCATGGAGATAAAGAATCTCATTTACTACAAAAAGGTGTCCATAATCAGGAATTAACGATTTATCAAACTGTGCTGTAGATTCCATGATTTGGAAGTAACACACTTTTTATAGTTACATGAAATGTAGGTGTCTGTAATTGTTTCAATCAGAGACAGACAGACTAAACAACCAACCAACCACCATTCTAGTTATTAAAGATGGTGACCACTAAATATAACAGACAATCCATGTATGGCTCTAGCTTAGATTATTCCCAATATAAAGCTGCCCAACTTGGGTCATTTACATTCAAGACGTAAAAATACGCACCTGTCAAAGAGAGCATTATGCTGAGGGCACATGCCAAGGCTTTTACGTATTGTTGTCATGTCAGAACGGATGTCACAGCCATATATATGAGCTGTGCCTGACGTAGGTGGGAAAAGACCAGTCAACATGGAACTGAAGAAAGAGGACAAAAATCTTATTAAAGGAAGAATAATATGTAACGTTCTCAAGGAATTTCAATTTAATGTGACAATTTCGTTTGTTCAATGTAACTTCTTAGTCAAATGTTTTTTACTACTGCAATGAGTGAAATTAAAACAACTTACATGGTTGTTGTTTTCCCAGCTCCATTGTGGCCAAGAAACGATGTTATCTGTCCTTCATAGAACTTTAAGCTCAGCTTATTCACTGCCAGCTTTCCGCCTACTTGGTACACCTGTCATTCAATCAATTTGAATAAATTAGTAATCAAGTTATTTCAAAATTATATACATACAATACAAAGATACCTTAGCGTGTTTAAGTGGATACAACATTACCTTCTACATTCCTCCCTGATATGAGCCAAGGTTTCTGGTGAAATATTTACCTTACTAAGCTTTTCAATGCTGACCCCTAATGGTAGATGCGTGGGATCTGGTTCCATGTAGGCACCTGCCATACAAAGAATATTGATCAATAATTTCCATATCAATATCAAGCCTACTAAACACACTTCAAAAGCATGCATCAGTGAAAAGAAGCTGGCGGATATCAGTTTTGAACATTTTTTTAATGTATATACAGCTTCTTCAGTTTCTGCGGGACTGGTACAACAAATTATCACATAAAACGAACAGATATTCCTAGTTTGAATTCATCCATGGATAACAATGTTTACTTCCTTCATTCAGACTTACTGTTCATGTTGCTGTGCATAGCAGATGCTTGATTCTCCTCTGCCATGGACAATGGGGTAGGACAACTTCTGTTGCAACAAACACAGCAATCACAGCAGGTGGATTGATCAGTATCGCCAGGACGATGTCCCAACCAATACGAACGCTGAAAAGGAAAGTACCACGGCCGAGGCAAACCATAGGAACCTGCATAGAGAAAATACCCACAATATAAAATACCACAGTTGAGGTGAGACGTATAATCTTGCAAGGAAAAAAGAGCAAGGTAATGGGCACTTTCACAGAGGAAACATCAAGACTATCTACACTTTATATTGTCATTCTTACAATACTTCAAACGACAATTCTTACCTGGATGGACTCCTTCAATGTACCATGTCAATAGACAGTACACAACTGTATCAAGCAACATCATTATAATCACACGCAGCAGATTGAAGGAATCATGTTCCACAGGACTTTGACTAATGTTGTTCCACTGGATTCCAACACCGTTTTCCTCAAACAGGGCAAAGTAACGAGCGCCCAATCCAAATGCAGTAGTAGAGAGAATCGACTACAAGATGAACAGAAATAAAAAGTACAGAATTTTAGGTCAGAAGACAAGAACATCAAGTACATCTCCATGTGTTGTTATTCGTGTTAAATTATAATGAGTACCGCAGTCCTACTAGATGAAATCAAACCCACTATCTCCATAATTCAGAATATGATCCGAAGTGGACTCAGAATAGACTGTAATACCACAGAACTCCATCATTAAACAGGTCAATTGCCAGAAGAATTCCCTCATGTATGAGGTATGTATTCAGAGAGAAAAATGTCAGCTATTTACACCACTGGTAAAAAAGGTCCACTATAGCACACAACAAAGTGAGTGGCCAAACAAAGTCATTTAATATTTCTTCTTCTGTAGTGTTATCATATCTTTGTGGTGATTTATAGTCAATACTCTACTAGCAAGGTTTAACAAGCTTACCACCATGGTTTTCAAGGAGCTGGATATATCCACAGCGGCTAAACTCTCTTCTCTGATAGCAATATAGAGACAAGGCACATAGCTGGTGAAGTATATGATACCAGCACAAGCTGCTGCTAGTTTGGCTTTGGAAAACAGCACACTCACCAGAAAACTGCATGGAATAATAAAGAAATACATCAAATCCAGGCAGTTATAAGGCAATGCTGTATCACGATTTCAAACTTAAGCACATGATTGTTCCAGAAAAAGTAACCACTTCCCCCAAAATGTCAATTAATTGTACCTTTACATGTATTTTGATATTCAGTCAAAAAATTGAATAAGTTTTAACAGTTGTTTCTTGGTTTTAGAATTTTAATTGTGATCCAAAAAGTAAAATGACTGCTACATCAGGAGGGAGTCAACGATCAACAAACCTATCAAATTAATCAGATTCACAATACTTACCAGAAACAAATGGTTGCCATAGCAAAGATAGTGAGTGTTAGCCATACAATGACTGGGTCACTATGGATGAGTATTTCACCATATCGCAAGATGCAGATTAACGCTACAATGGTGAGTGACATCTGACTAAAGCCAACAATGAACCAAGCTACCCAGTGGACCGCATTACTCAAACCCATCATCTTCATCACCTACATGTACAAGAAATATCAGCCACCAATCAATTTCATCAACAAATTCACCAAAATTAGGCCCACATGTCAAAAATTGTAACAAAGCTCCGATGATAAAAAACAGTGAAGAAATTCACAATTAACACTGTAACACTTCCCACTCCAAATGTAATGTCTAAGGAGCTTGCTTATCACTGAAACAAACATTAAATTCTTTGAGTGAGATGAGATCCGATTACATGAGATCATACTTTTTGACTTCCCAAGAATACCAGACTGTGCACAATGACACTCTACTCAAGTACTACAAGTCTCTGCTAGCTTTACTAACCTCTTTGAGTCTGACTTCCTTCTCATACACAATACTCTGTGTAAACATAGCCACATAGTAGACCCAGGAGACAATCAACATCATTGGCATGATGTGTTCAATCATGAACATAAAGCTGTTTGAAAAACAAATAGGACACTGTTTGAATTCGCAACATCTGTTTGCAACGGCACTTACATTGGGCACACTGAATAAACTCAAAAATTACTGCAACAAGAACTCCTAAAGAAACTAAATGAGGCTGATGTAGTCATTTGTGTATCCGGCAGGTGGGGGAAGAGAGGGGGAGAAACTCAAACCTTGGATATGTTACGGATGTATACCAGTACTTACTTGTCGCTGATGAAGCATGGGTAGGGGAATTCCTGCATGTAGCTTCCTGGTTCAATGACTCTCCTTCCAACCCATTTATTAATGATAGCTCTCTCGATGATATCTTGAATCCAGACAAAACCATAAGTGTAGTAACCTAGCGTCGATTTATGATTGGATCCAGGAGCCCAGAAACGACGGCGAATTAAATCCGTTCGGTCAGTCAGAGATGTGTTCTGACGAATCTTGTACACAATATGAGGTGGAAGATTGCCTTCCTCATCCACTTCAAATATCAGACCTTTACAAGGAAATGGATACAGTCATTTCAAAAACCCAGGGATAAATTCATCTAAATCTACTATAGCATCTGTAGACACTATGGGCAAAACTTATTTGAGCTAGATTATGACTGTCTCGGAAAAAGTCTTCAGAGGTTTTTCACTGGAATCAGTAGATTCCAGGAGATTGAAAATATTTCTAACCAAACTAAATTTTCAATTTAAACTACAGCCGAAAACATACAACAGTGTACATGTATTTTTTTTTATCAAGTACTGTCTAAGTCAAACAAATTTCTCAAGAAAATATGTGCACACAATTTTTTACATGAGTGGACAACTCACAGTTGAATGGAATTTTTACTTTTCACTGTGACTGAACAAACAAACACCAGATTAGCATAAATTGAATTAACAGACTCATAAATTGGGGTGCGTGTTTGGAGCGTCCATTAAATTGCCGAGTCTCTTAAATGAGTAGTGAAAGCCAAGAAAGACTAACAAAGTAGGTACAACAATACATTACTTCTCAAGGAGAGAATATTAGATTACAAGCAAGAGTGACTGTTGTTGTTTGACTCACTGGCAAACACTGTCACATTGTCATGTAGAGCATCATTCAGGATATAATCAATCAAGGACTCTTCATCTTCAAATGGACGATATACGTTGAAGTCTACATCACCAGCTAGATTCAACCATCCGCATGCAGCATTATCTATGACATCCAGTCTGTGTTCAATACTTGTTGTGTTGATGTAGGTGTGGTTAAGGATCAGATCTTGAAGGTCTGGTGAAGTCATCTTGGTGATGTTTTGGAAGAGCAATGGGTGATCAGAAAAGCTGTCCTCCATCTTACAGTAACATAAGAAGAAAATTAAATAAATTATTTAATTTACAAATGTACATGTATCTCTTGTCCAGCATCTTCGATTAGAATAAGACAACGGGTTAACGTTACAATTGCTAATTTAGCTATTAATTATATTTCCTTCAGCAAACCGCTTTACCTGACCATGCATGTCATCTCTAAGGGCAACTATGAGTATTTGCGTTACCTTAGGAGTAACAACCTCTGATTGACTGAAATCCCATAAAATCAAATAGAAATATTATTTTCATGTCAAAAAACTGAGTACATTTGGTCTGATGAACCACTGTCGCACAGGTCTGATTCTTTTTATTGTGAAATAGAAAATTTTATCCAAAAGATCTCTTTCAAAGGTTAACTACGTGCAATGTGTCAATATAGTTTAAGACTAATTCCTTGACAATAGCCTTACCTGACCAAGCCAACTTAACACAAGTTGAGTGGTGTCCATATGCATATAATCACGAATCTCTTGCGATATGTTACGCCAGAGACGTGCATAATGTGTTATATTCTGCATCAGGTGGACCATGTCACTTGCCTGTAAGTTTATCAGAAGCAACATACGAGTATGAAAAGGTAAATCGATCAAGTAGACAGTAATTTTTATCAATGTCATCTATACAAGGCATGAATGAGCCAGTTTGGTATTTCATAGAGCCAAAGTTTTTTTGGTACAAAACGCGCGAGTCAGCATATGGCTATGTTGATAGGACAGATTATCACGCGTTCACAGTGTTGCCAAATAGCCTTGTACTGGACATGCACTTTTGGAATACCGAATTGGCTCATTCTATTAACAAATTGTAATGTGTTTACTTTTGGCTGGATCAAACACATTTTTATACATTTGATATAATGCCAGCAAGCCAGTTCTGCCTCCCTGACACTGACACAAGGGTCAGAAACCTATCTATAAGTGTAAATACACCTGCATTACCAATGATCAATCATTAGTAACAAACCTATGGAGTGCCTTCACAGACAGTGTTTTAGCATTTTCACCCAGTGGGGATTTGATCACAAAGCCCACAGTTCTTGTGCTTGACTTTGAAAACTGAGAACTAACCTTGTCAATCAGCTCATTCACATCTGTAGTATTTGGAGCATATAGGATTCTGGGATTGCTGAACAAGACATGAAGCAATAATCCCAGACTCTTTTTCTGATGTCTAGTCAGATGTAAAGCCTTGATGTCCCCTCTAGCTAAACCTTCATCATTGACTTTTAGTTCCTGTCCACATAGGCCATACTGCATTTTGGCCCATAATTTGTAAAGCTGAGCTAGCCTCTTTGACTTTTCATCCAGTTCAGGTTTAGCTATAAAAAAACAGGTGTAAATTTCACCATATCAGTGTTTCTTGTCATACTAATAGCAGCGTGAAATTTTTAGCCTCATTCTTATAAGAGATTTGCCATTCACTAGTGTGGCATTATCATTAGTACTTTACGCAAAGTACTTTTCAGGCCCATAAAAATACATGACAGGCTTTCTCAGATTGGACTTGAACCAAAGACCTCTTGCCCACTAGTTGTGAGCAGGTTAGTATAGCCAATTCACTTCATCTCTAGCACTGGTTACTGCAAACAATGAAGGACATTATGCTAGTTGTAAGGTAAATGAAGAATGATGAATTTGTCAGCAATGAGAATATTAGAGCCTTGATTCATGAAAGAAGCTTCACCTCACCCTCTCCCTTGTCAATGGTGTCGGTTACTGGTTGTAATGTTGTTGCCATGGTGCTGGAAATGTTGTATCCATCATCATCAGGAAAACCAGAGAAATTGCCTTCATCTTTACCATTATCAAGGTAGGAATTCTGAAAATGTGCAACTCAAAAATGATTCATCTATACAAAAGGGAATAGAACATTTTCTTTCAATTTATCCAACATTAAGTCTCAAGGTAAAAATATATATTGGTGGATGAAATCCTTTACTCATTACAACATGCAATTTGCAAGGCCAAAGAGCCTAAGGACACAACTTGCATAGTTCCTATTACAATATTCATATATTTATGATACTAGTTAATCAACTGCATAATGCACACTGCTAATAAAAATAATTCCTGACAAACATTTCAACCTACTTTTCCAAATCCTCATATGAATTCAATTGGACAGTAGCAAGTTATCCCTTCATTTCAATTTCTTTCCTACAAATGAGAAAATCCCTGTTGATGTCACTCTTACCCAATCAAGCCAGGACATGTGTGGAGTTGTTGGGAAACGTGACGAAGGTGATGATGATGATGAAGATCGTGTAGGTGGTACTGATGACGATGGGAAGGTATCTGAAGTAGGTTCTACATCTTCAGGGCAGTTATCCCCAGGCAAGTCCAAAGCAAAATTATACAGATCATTCAGTGTCTCCTGAAACTTCACAAACTTGTCAAGCTAAAAGAAAGAAACCAATGCACAAATGTCACACACCGTACTACTCAACAAGAACAGGAGTTTTACATGAAATGGTCTTGTAAAATTTTTTTTGCTTTCTAAATATAAATAATTTAACACAAAGTGGTTGCAAGTTACTTTTGTTTCTGAAATAATTCCTGTCTAATTTCATAGGGTACTGCGTCTTTAAATAGGTAAATGGAATGGTAAACATGTGACCCAAATTCCTTGCAAAAAATAGTTTTACCTCCTTGACAACAGCTAATGCTTTGTCTCGGGTTGCTGCGAGGTCATCGTCTGATATATTCAACTGCAATTCAACCAAACAAAATGTTAAATACTATCATATATTAGAGATTAAAAGTGAACACAAAATAAGATAGGTGATTGAACTGAAACCACGAACATGTTTTTATCACCTGGGAATAGCAAGCTGTCAAAACGCTCTTCATTCTGCAGAAAAACCAAGTCTTGACTATTTACATTAAAATAACAGAGTAACCTACCAATGTTCAACATGGTTGATTTTAATGTCATCTTAAAATCTACATGTAGATTGGACAATGGAAGGTGCAAGTGTAAGGAATGCTATTAGGCTGATGACTTTGTGAAATACCTTGTGAAGTAAAGCAGCTATGTCTAACTGATCTTTCAACACGGCAGAAAGCCCCTTAAATATATCAGGTGCATCTTGTCTGTTGCATAGGTCACCAATTACATACCCCTGCAATAAGAAAATATCAGTTTCACAATAACGACAACCAAAGCTTTGAGTAACTGCAAAAACACTGAGAATAAGACATTTTACAGTGCCTCAGTCAAAATATACATGACGAAAAATTAACTTGACAGGTCAAAGGTTGGAAAATGTAACTCAAGTACATACAGTATACTATGGTACAAGAAAGTGAACGCTTAAGCAAATTTGAGTTTCAGAGCAAATACTGTTGGCCACTACAATGTACACGTACCTACACTGTCATCTTGAAAGTCTATGGTCTAAGCAAGGAAAAATACACCTTTACATTCCCGAGTAAGCACAACTAAAAAGACAAACGGGTTCTCTTGATTATCAAAAATTAAGTACATGTATAATAGCAAAATACTCTTGGGTACATGTACATATACAGTGTATAAGTGTGGATGCAAAAAAACAGTGAAAATACTCCACCCATAAACTACAAGTAATTTTTACTCACAGAACTATTGAGATGACTATTTTCTGTGTCATAGACTGATAGAATGCTCTTCTTATTACATGTGATTGCTTGAAGTTCAGTTGGAGAAAGCAGGGAGTTCTGTTAATACAAACAGCGACAAAGTTTTGAACATTTTAATAAAATGAAAACCAAGTTCAAAATTGCTGGCATTCTCTCTAGATATTATTTAAACTACATGTACATGTAGGTCATTTAAATTCGAACAAAATAAGTGGACTAAATTGCAGACGCAGTTCATTCTGATTAATCACAGTACTCTTTCATTCTATTTGCATGAAAGCAGGATTAACTTTCTGCCTCCTTTGAAATACCAGACTTTGCTTTTGTCGAAGCCTGCAGGTTGCCCCAAGGTTCTCAAAATTTTTCACAGCAATTTACTCACCATATACTCCAGGCTCAATTTCAAAGCATCTCCATCTGTTACACCTGCTGAATAGTTCAAGTCTTGGTCATATCTTAATGCAGAAAGTAATACCACTGGCTGTAAAGTCAACAGACCAAGCAATCCATTGAAGCTAAATAATTCCTCATCGGGAAGATGTTGAAAGACAGCTCCACAACACTGACTACTTAAACGATTTTTCAGGAAGGTTGTAAAGTCTGAGGCATTCTGGGATGGAGAAGTGGCATTGGTTGCATTCAGCATACTTTCAGATTCAACTGGCATGACTGGCTTTGGGTGGTATCCATAAAGCAAGTGGAAAATCTAGACAAAAAAATGAAAGAGAAATCAACATACCATGCTTTAACAAAGATACAACATCTAGCCTTTGACCTTTAACCCTACCATTAACTTTGTTAAAACTTAACACCACAAAACTGTAACTGCACATGTAATAGCTTTGTCTCATTATTTTGAAGAGCTCTGAAATATTTACCAACATGTACAGTGTATGTGGATACGAAAACAATTCTCAATCTTAATTTCAGCTCATGAATTTGCTCCTAGTATTGTTCCTAGCATGACAGAATAAGGACCTTGAGTAAAAACAACCAAAAAACTTCTAAGAAAAAGAAGATTCCTCTTACCATTAATGAATGTTCACAAAAAAATCAACAGAATTCTATAACATGAGGGCAAAATGAAGACAAGGGGACAAGAACTAAACACAGCAAGTAAAGTGAAATAACCTCTTTGTTTGGCCTTGACCTTGTGTCTGCTTTTACTCCTTGTGTCAGCAACTGTGATTTCCACTTAAGATAAACTTAGTTTTAGTCTTGTGCTCAATGCCTTCCAGTAATATCCTCACCTTGCAAGCAGGTTCTTGTCATTCATCCAATTAATCATAGCACAGCAATAAGAATAACAACTTGAGGGCTTACGTGTACAAGCTAAATAATGCATTGCTACAGTGCCATAACTCCAAATCAATTTAAACATTAACCTATTTGAGTGGTCTGTTACCTCTGTCAGATTGAGTTCATTGTGCATGATCTGATGTGCATCTGACCTTGGCACACTCATGTTGTTCACAAAATATGTCTCCAGTACACTGTTATTTCTCACCATGTCATCCAGACTGAAATCTGTGTATGTTACAAACAAGAATATGTGATCTCAACCAAAGATTTAAAAAAATGGAAACTACATGTACATCCTCACCACTTTCCATATACAGAATTGACTTGCAATATGGCAATTTATAAACATCTGTTTTGTTATTTAAAGATGCATTTGCAGGTACATGCACATGCACAAATACAAGTCCATGTGATGTGTGTGTAAGCTAGCATGTAATGGTTTCTGGTCATCAGATAGATTTACCTGTACAGCCTACACTGCATTAATATTTACTGTTTGTAGAAGACACCAAAGAATCTTTCTACTGTACATGTACTTCTGAATATATACAGGTGCACGTACAGTACGTGTACATGTGGAACACTTGAACGTTATACAATTGACAAGTTCTAAACATTAACACCTCAGTTAGTTCAAAATACATGTTTTAAAGGTCAATTCTATTTTAAAGTTATCAAACAGCGGAATATGGTTGCAGATTAACAGGAGTTGATAGCAAGGGGCTCTAACGATTATAAACATATATTTAAAATAGTATGTACTGAGCAGAACAGAATACATGTAGGTTTACAATCATAATCACAAAACCAGTGTGATAACTCTTCCAAGGCCTCAAATTCCACTCAAATGTTTAGGGTTCCGCAGATTGAATAAAATTACATGTATATGAAGTCTAAACAAAGTAACTGACTTGAATAAAAATGAATTTACTCTCAATGAAAAGTCCTCTTCAGAGAATTTTTCCAGTGTGGGGCAAGAATTGTCCTTGCATAAATAAAATAGATTTCTTCAAAAATTATCATGAACTCACTTCATGACACAATTTTACAACAGAGATAACAAAGTACAGTATGTGGATGGGTACTGTTACATGTAACTGTTACCAACCTTCTCCAAGAGCGAAGTGCTGCTCAATGGAACCTTTATCATTAATCAAATTGTGGAAAGCATCAAGCTCAACAGCAACATGCTCCAGAGAAAAGTCATCAGTAAATAGTTTATTTTCTCGCACAACCTTGTCGAGACGGTTCAAGAACTGTTCCACACTGAACAGAAATAAATTGGGGAAACAAATACCGATTGTTAATACATCTTTCCCTTTATAACACATCAATGTTTATATGAAAATGCACATGTATGCACAACCTCAATCATACATGTAGATACACCTGTTTTGGGCATCTATGTTATAAACACCTAAAGGCAATGATATCCACATGTGTTGAGGTGACACATGAATCAGACATCCTGCTTATAAATATCAACTAAGAATAAAAAGTGTTGGAAGTTTAGCAAATCCTAATTTTGCTAAGAGTTATTCCACACTGCTCTGTCATTTAAAAAAGTGTCTTTGCAACAAAAAGTGTACCCATGATTTTGGCTGCACACATTGTACATGTACATGTGACATATAAATTGTAAATGACAGTTTATGTAAGTCCAAGACTCAAAACTATGAGATATACATTGTAAATACATTTAGGGACCAGCAATAATAAACAGCAGAGAAAATTGAAGTAATGGCATTGCTAATCCCTTTTGTAAATAAGTCTCCCACTTAAGCAAATCAACCCTTGGTTGAAAGCAGATGCTTTGTTAGATGATAGCAACTCACCCATGAACAATGCCTTAGCACAAACTATGTACAAGAAAAAAGAACTGAAAGAAAATTGTATCAACTGCTAAAATTAACTGAATTCATGGATAACTGAATACATAATACTTCTACATGTACATGTATAATTACTATCAAACCCACACCCTGTGTCAATAATTAAAAAAAACAAACGTAACCTTGCACATGTACATGTAGTTCCAGTCAAACTTGGTGATATTGACTTTCTGATGTGATAATACAGACATCAGAAAAAGACCGGGAGGCATAGAGCCATGCCACATGTATGTATGTAAAACATTTATAGCATTCAGCCTGAATAGGGCTCCAAACAAAACAACGTAATGTACATGCGCTGTCAGATACTAAATCTCAGCAAGGAAACGGAACAGCATTGATCATCCCTGAACTGTGGATGTGTAGGCATTATTTACCTGAGTTCATTTACATACATAAGCCAACTTTGTGAAAAATAAAGTCCAATGTGTACCAATGTTAGTTTTGGACCACAAGTCAAAATTTTAAGTTCCTAAAATTTCCCCAACCTGCTAACAGCAACAAAAATCTGCTGAGCATGTGAAGTTTTCGGCTAAACCAAAGGATTAGCAATTACATGTACATGTACCTCTGTTAAGTGCAACAGTAACTGTAGAAATCAGGTTCTGAATCTTACCCTGAGTTAGGATGATCTGGGAATCCAAAAGGATCCCTTTCAAATGACGGACAGAAAGTTTGCAGCACAGGTATGATGCCAGATGATGGCAATGGCATTGCAGTAAAGTAAGCTAAATTAAAATACACATTAAATCAATTAAAATCATACAATTAGACAGAAATAAATGTAATGTCCATACATGCTGCTGACAATACACATATGAAGTACTTGCATGCTCTTAACTGTTCCAGTCTAGATGGTCCAAAGTCGAAGGCAATTTCACACCAATACTTTTATCAATAAGTAATGGAGACTTTTTCTGCACTCATTTAACAAACCACTACAGAGCATTCTTAATAACACTCTAATGTGCAGTCAGTAAGCAACACACTAAGAGATGCTGAGAATGCTTGTAGTTGATAGTGTACATTGTATATCCAACCCATGACCTTTGAACTTTGTGCAGAAAATACTGCTAAATCTCACTATTTCAACAAGTATTCAGAACAAACAATTTTTCATGTGATTTTGAAGAAACGCAATGTTGATACTGTTTAACAGTTTCACACAACGTACCCCCACCCGATACATGTACATACATGTACATACATGTACATGTAGGCCCTACTGTTATTTTTGCAAACATCCAAACTGTACCTCCCCAAACATATGTGTATGTCTAAAATCAACCTGAAAAAGGCTTCATGAACGGAATGGTTATGAAAAGGAACTTACTTTGACCAACATGCTTTGAGGGTTGTTGCTTTCTGATAAAAATGAGGATAACAAAGAGCACCAAAGGGATAAGAGTTTCAAATGTCACTGTCAACTGAAATGAAAAGTAGAAAAAGAAAACAATGATAGTAGGGTTTTCATGATGAACAAAGCACTGTAAGTTGACCAAACTTATTCAATAACTCAGCAACCCATTAAGAAAAGGAGCAATTGAGATGAATTTTAAATGACAGACTGAGTTAATGCATACATGTACAATGCATCCTTGTGGTATGCCTCCATGTACACTGTACCATCAGTATTCTTTCACAGGTAACAGACCTTTTAACAGGTAGTCAGGCACAGTATGTGTAATTGATTCATAACAAAATGTGCAGGTGGCTAAAGCATTCACCATCACACACCCACAGCTCAATGACCTACTAAAACAAGTAAGTTGAATCAGATAAATTAATCTTACATATACATGTCTGAATGAAAGTACATGTACATGTATTTGCTTTTCACTGCTTAACAAACCAATCAAGATGTTGAACAAAGGATATATTTTGCTATCAAAGAGTTGTACATTATTTTTCTGGAAAAAGTCAGCATAAATCTATACTACATGTACATGTACATACATGTATACAGTAAATATGTAGTAACTAAATTCAAGGTTTACTACCAAGTGATCGCCTGATTCACTGGTCAAGGCATGCATTACAAAATCTTGCCCCTGTGAAGACATGAGGATATACATGTACACACAGGTTTCAGACCAGCTTCAGACAGTTTTGAGGTTTTCTTTCTATCCCCAATGCCGAAAGTCCTAACATTATCCTTTCATTGTTTTTATATTGAATCCTACATTTGTACATGAAATTGAAGGTTGCATTATTTTACACTGTTTCATGATTCATACACTGTAGCTAGGAAAGATTCTTTTTTTTTTCAAGGGAAAGAAAATTGCACTACATGTACGAGTCTGAATTTCATGTCATGAATACAAAGTGATGGCACTGTACGACAGCGAAAATATATGCAGACCATGAACCAGTCAAATACATGTACATGTGTCAAACACTTAAAGAAATGGAACACCAAATTGGTGCAATTGAAGGTACATGTACGGGTATCAATGTGTTTATTCGAAAGTAACTTTAGGTTTCAGGTCCAGGTAATGAAGTTCTCTTAGACACAATTTGACATCTTTTTTTTATAAATGGGTATCAAAAGAAAACTTAAATTTCAAATATTCCACCAGTTTCTTGTGCACTTTTGTGTACAACATTAAACTTTTCTCCATAGTATAATCCCTGAGACATCAAAATACTGTATTGTGTAAGTGCCAAAAAAATTTTTTTTACACAAGGTCATCAACTAACAGGTGCATTTTCAAGCTCTGCATAAAATTACATACATGTACACTCTCTCAATACGGTCATGATGGTTCTTCTATCCACCCCGAGTTAAAAAGCATCCTAAACGGTGGGTGTCCTATACTATAAATAAACTTACCAAGCTCCTCCTCTTCAAGACAAAATTTTTCCAGAGAAGGACACGCAGCTGATGAAAGAACCCCATGGTCAGTATCAACTTGACTACTGGCCCATTAGGTCATGAAATGAAGACATGAAAATTCCAGGAGTAAAAATTAGATTCTGAAAGAGAGAGAGGACAAAATGCTACAAAAACTGACAACTGTCCGACTTCAGTTCATGCTTGGCTACTGATCCGCAGATTGTACATGTATGCATACTGTGTCTAGTACATACATGTACAAGCCTAGTAAGTGTACATAAGAAGGCTACCCAGTACCAACCCTGGGATTCATTGTCCGTGGCGAACAATGAACCCACAGTTCTGGGGGCCAGGGCCACATACATGTACATGTACCGGCATAAATGCCCAAGGCCTGTTCATAATAGTCGCAGATTGTCACACACAAAATGCATAGGATTGTAATGTTCCATGCAGCTGGATACAGCTCGGAAAGAATTCCACCTATGGACAACACTTGATGCCTCTACATGTATGCACAAACCTATAAGACTTGTCTGACGTGTTTTCCAGTAAATGTTTATACATTTCACTTTTTAGGACATCTTATAAAACTTTCTAATGGCTGTTGAAACATTTTAAAGGAATCCACAAGTCACCATAATTTGCACACTTACGAGTAGTACTTTGACCAAACTTTGACTAAATTTTTATGGCTTCATTCTCACTAGTTGAAAAGTTGACTGAAATGCTACATGGAAAAATATTTTGAACAACAGCAGATGTCAACGAAGCAACAAGAAAAAGTCATCTGCAAATGAGTGGGATAGGCTGTAGTAAAACTTGCGTCACCATAATTCGTGCTTATACACGTACATTTTATTGGGAATCAGTAATGTCTTACTTCTGAAAAATCTGCTAATTCATATCTCTTGAATGAGGAATTACTTTTTGCATTAGTTACTTTGGTTTGGTGGTGCAGTTTGAGGAGGAAAAAAAGTTTTATTGGCCATAGCTTGACTTCCCATCCCTTTCTCTTTTTCGTTCTCCTAGTTTTTTTTTCAATTTAATATCAAGTTACACTAATGCATGAATTTTTATTCTTTCAAATAAATTATAATTAGTATTGATATGAGTATTTGATCTGGATATTATGACAAAACTTGTATTTCTAGGTGTATTTCTGAAAAATGTCAAAAAATACAGTGCCACCGAATCCATGCCAGTCATCAGCAACTGAAATCTCAAAATACAAGGGTCACAGTGCTTTTTCAGGCACCATATTTGATAATGCCCTCAATAGTTGGCAAAAGTTGATCGAAGTTGTCATTAGTGCCTATATTGGACGTCCAACACCGATCGAGAGCAAAAAGTCATCATTTTATCCATTATCTAGACAATTCCAACTAGTACACTTTTGTATTTACATGTTGTCTGTAAAGTAAAACTTCATGCCCAACTTCTCACTGGAAAAGCACATACTGTACATGTACAGGTAGCTGCAAAACGAGGAATGCAGAAGTGACAATTGATCGACAGTAAATTAAAGTCGGTGCATAATTTCGTTCAAGAGTTTCACCAAGATGATGCATTTATATTTGTACTGGGATGTCTGGGGATATTATCAGACATCCGCTGGATCTTATGAGCTGAAATTGCAGCTGTATGTTCACTACTGATGGGGCTAACTATCCCCCAGGTCGCTATTTGTATAAATTTGCCTTTTCTTCATTTGGAGGGAAGAAAGTTGCCTTCAGTTGGCATTTTCCCCACTCCAGACGAATTTCGGCCTGACTTTCACATTAAACACACTCCTTTTTATGGTTAAGTGTAAGCACAGTCAATGTATCGATATGGGTTTGATATAGATACCAGTATCACCAATGTTAGTTATTTGGTAATATAGACACATGTACATGTAATGAAAATATCAGATTTTGAAGAAATATCGAAACTTCGAAAACATCGATATTGAAAAATATATCGAAAATATCACTACTGAGGAACAAACTCTATTAAAAATACGAAAGTGCATCGTCACATTTCCGTAATTTTTGATAAGCTACAGCTTACTTTGGTTCTCACGCTAAGTGAAAACTATCCCTGTAGCTTATACTCCGGGCGACTTACATACATGTACATGTATATGGCGACATTTCAAGAATTTAATTCAGTCATCATCTATCAGTCTCACACTCAATAATTGGGGGACACTTTGCCTCAAAATATCACAAAATTTATCCTCCAAAACAGAGAATTATTTGCTAACCAAACATACATAGACTACCACCATGTTCTGATGATGTCGCTAAGCACCGCAGCGTGTATCCCATCCCATGTAGGCAAATACGGACACTAGAACATGTCGCCAAAGTGAATTGGATCACATCCTTACAGTGTAGGGGTGTACCCTTAAAACAATTTGCCAGCAATTCACACCTGTTATAATACCCTGAAAGTTAAATTAAATAAAGTTTGATACATCGATAATATCGATATAAAACCCTGATATATCGGCATTGGCCAAAATACGATATTGACGGTGCCTACCATGTACCGGTACATGTACATGCCATGATGGTATGTAGCTTGACCATTGGACCAATTCATCTTGAGGCACAATGAAGTTCACTAATTAGTGCATTAAAATAGTGAAAGTAATGCTGATGTTTCAGAATACATGTATATACTGTAGCCTGTACGGAGAGCATGTCTAGTTTACACCCAGACTTCAGCATATATACAAATTCCGTTCAGATCCCCAAGAGTACCTGTCGATCCATGTAGTCAGGGAAAATGACAGCTGTTTTGTGTCACAGCTATTACGCAGTGTCCTTGGCTAGTTCCCTGTCCAGTCAAATACCGCTTGCAGCAAATCATTGAACATGTAACGCGGCTTGGTCTCTGTGACATGATACGAAACGGCCGTCAGTTTTGTGCGGGTCAGGCCAAAATACGTCTAGAGTGGGGAAAACACCAACTGAAAGCAACATCTTTTTCTCCAAACACACCAAACAAGGAAAATGCAAGTTTTCTGCAAATAGAAACCTGGGGCATACATGTAGTTAACCCTGTAAGTAGTGAAAATACCCATGACATCGGTGCACTTTCAGCTCATAAGTTCCAGTGGATGTCTGATAATATCCCTGGACATCCAGAATAAGACACAAGATAATTTGACATGATGGCCCCAAGCTCTGGAATTTCTTACATAATTCAATGACTAGCATTTGTAGTCTTCTTTTGTTTAAATTTAAGCTGAAGACCTTCCTCCTATCCAATTATTCAAGCTCTGAGTAATTATTCTAATCGACTACTACTGCACAACTCCCAATTCCAGTAATCCTAGATACATGTATATTGGTATAATACAACCCCAACTACAACATCAGTCCCTACTATAGTTGAGACAGTCCCAACTATAGTTGAGCCCATCCTAGCCCAGGTTTGGACGTTGTCTAAACTGCATTGCAACTAACATCCATGGTATAAAAGTCCTCCTACACCGTACAGTGCAATCAAAAAATTTTTTCAATGGTTTTTTACTCACATTTTTACCTGGCAAAGACAGCTCATAATCCATAAATGTTGTATTGAAATTACTATATATGCCTGCGGACAACGTCTTTTGCAAAAAATTTAGCGCAACTCCACGTTTTCCATCTTGAGTGATCTACGTTTGTCTGGTATGCGTACTTACACATACGCAAAATGCATAGTAACCGACCGCCCCTTAGGCATGAGCGGAAGAGCTGTGGGTGTGAGAAGTCGCAGATAAGGCCGTGTCTGAAACGGGCTTGCAAGGCTACGGCTAGGTCCGTTATCTGCGCTTCACCACCCATTTCCAGTGGAGCGAAGACCTAAACCTAACTCTAGACAACATAACTAACAAAATGTGGGCTGCAGAGGCCATTTCGCGCATGCGCAAATGCGTACTACTGGATGAACGTAGATTGTTAACGAATCGCAACGGAAAGCTTAGAGTTTCACAAAACTTTCTGTAAAATACATTGTCCGCGGGCATATTTATTAATTTCTACACAGCATTTATGGAATTTGGGACACAAGGCACTTGTGAACAACATTTTATCAGTCTTTGCCAGGTACAACGTGAGAAAAAACATTGATAAAAATTTCGCATTGTACCGGTAGGAGGACATTCATACCCTGGCAGTCAGTTATAGTGTAAATGAAGACAACGTCCAACCTGGGCTAAGCCAGTCCCAACTAGAGCACTATACATGTAGTTGGGCCAGTCAAACTGCAGCACTACAGTTGGGACTGTCCCAGCTACATGTACAGTTGGGACAGACATTGTAGTTGGGGCATAATATTGGCATTTTTAAGTGTCATTTTGTATGTTATTGTTACTGATCATTCTTAATTTGCTAATTCTGACATCTTTAGTTCAATGGGATCCTTGCTCGGCAAGGCTTTACTTCCTGGGGATCCCCTTCCACATTATATCACATGTACATTATATTTGCCATGTTATCTCACCAGTTCCAATTCAGTTATAATATTAAAAATAATTAAGGGATTTTACTGATGAAAAGATTATGTCAATAGTCATGTTTATAGTACTGACATTACTGTAATCTAATCATGCCGCTATGGAAAAATAATAATGAATGAACAAATGAATAAACTTGACCGAAAAAAAATCACTATCAATCAGTACAGGGTACAGTAATATTGAAGGACGTAGGGCCCTGCCTGTTTACAGGTCTAAGTCAGTCTGAACATGCTCCCTGTACGCCCAGTGTTGTCCATATAACCGTGACAAAGTACTTGGCCATCTACATACATGTACAGTATGTGTATATGTAACTTATGCATAAATGAGCACGGGCACTGTAGGATAAGGGAGAGCACCTTGCACGGACACATCGGGCGCCATGAAAAAAGAGAACTCAAAAGGAGTCGTAGACATTCTGTATCGTGAAATTTCATATCCCTGACTCCACAAGTGTCAGTAATTATATTATGAACAGTTATTGTACATTTGGGTGTTGTGGGGGGTTAGGGGGGGGTGTAAAAAAGTAGGTTTGGATTGCATGCACATGTGTTTACTTGCGTTATGTGCGTTGTACCATGGAGGTACCTCCATGGTTGTACATGTACTTCATGTAAGCCATCATTGTGCATTGTGCTTAATAAGGCGATTTATTTTTTTTTCCTAGTGAACCTCAGTTACTCGCTCATTCACAATGATGGTATAGGGCGCGAGATCACTAGATGGCATCATTTGAAGTTTGTTGAATAAACAAATGGTGGATGAACAACTGCAAAAGTCTGCATGGTGTATAATTTGAACGTTCAGACGTGGAGAAATTTATATGCGACAGTTACAGTGCTGTTTATTTGGAAACTCATTAAATAGAAAATTGTGATTAAAATTTGTCTTTTTCCGCACACTGTAGCTCCTCTATTTAATTTCCAATTTCAAAATATGTGCAAAAATCACAGTTTGCACTCCAAAACACATGTACAAAAAATATATCAAAACATCTCAAAATATTCCTGTTTTAAATCAGTATTTCTTTGCTTTGCAAAGTCCGATGAAATCCAAACTTATATCAAAATGTTTCTTACGACATCCTCTCCAAGATCACTTCAAAAAGAAAACAGAAAAAAGTAGCTGAAAAATTTATGAGCCTCCCTTTCAGTTTATGTTTGTTAGCTCCCCTCATCCCAGATGGTCATGACACTAGCAAAATAAAGTAACAAAATGCCTACCTCATCAGCGTACGTAAATTCTGTCAAATTATGGAGGAAGGAAGAGCAGACGGCCTTTATCTAAGTATTTGAAGCATAATGGAGATGGCATACAGCACGTACACGTACAGTACACACAAAATTGAATCAGTCTGTGCCGGCTGTTGACGTGTGTCGATTACGTACGAAACATTTGCATTCATGAATGTTTCGTTGATCAGTCTAGGTCTAAGACAGTGATGCACTGCAATATTTACGATTGCTTGAACATGGCGCCTTGATCAAGTTTTAAGCACTAGCTTTGTAGCTAGATCGTGCGCTGCTCAAATGAAGGGCGCCCTCTACGTTAAACGTCATTCAAGTAGCTGGACAACATGGAAGTGGAAAACATGTCGACATCTCTTCAATATGTAATCGTTATTCTGACGGTTGTGAGTGTCTGTGTGTCTCGAAAACATGAGTTGAATCTTACCGTAAGTTGGAAACTCCTTGTTTGTGTATTCTGTTGTAGTTTCTTGAATCCGAAGTTGAGAAAATCACCTTTACCATAGCCACTTATGTTTTTATTCCTCCATGCTTGCAGAGGCACTAACGTTGTACCATAGGATTATGTAGTTCTTCTGATCATGACTGGCGTAGTGCCAGGCCTAGGGCCTACACCCCAGCCATGCAGGCTGTGCCACAATTTGACTATGATTTGACAAAGCACAATGGGAATGAGGAAGCTTTGATTATCTGATCCTTTTTTATTCCCACTATTCTTTTTACCTGAGACGAGTGGTATTTACAAAAGCTTTGCCCATTCATGATTTTGGAACCGCAATGGAAATAAGTTAGGCCAGATTAAACTTTTTGCATTATCCCTACAATTTCCTTTTTAGAGAATCTTTGAGTTCGCTTTTTTTAATTAATTTTTTTGTAGCAATATTTTGTGGAAATAGTGAATAAATTCAAATCAAATCGCAGACATGACCCTGATGACAGACAGTAGCCTATTGTCCATGCATGCCATGCGTACATGTATTGTGCTAATGTGCCCTTCTCTAAAAAACCTTCAGCCAGTGCTGCAGAGGTGATAGGCATGATAAAGGTGATAGGTGATAAAGGTCCTTCAGATTTTGCCATGTCTCCAAAGTTGCTGAAAATAAAGTTAGCCAAAGTTCACTTCATAAACTTGCAGGTTATCATTGTCATAATTGTCATCAACAGTGAGTGTTACTGGAAATGGATGGACCAATGCCATATCATGATGCCATTCCGAATTTCTCAAAATATGTTGATACAAATTGTCAAGTTTTTGTCATAAATTTGGACTGAAGTACCCAACTGTTTCAAATAAATATTCAATACTTAGGCTTACATGTACATGTAGTACTCTCTTGTCAAAATTACACCATATTGTACATGTATATAAAATGATTAATATACAGCCCGAGTAATTAACCCTCATTTGAACTTTTACAGGATGATACAAGGAAAGTGGTTGATGTCAGCACCTTTGGCTTCTTCAAGAATGGTCTTCTTGCAGTCAATGTATCTGCATTAGTTGTGAAAGATCCAAAGCACGAAAATCAAAGTATTGGTTTCACGCTGGACAAATCAATCAGTGATGGAGGTGCCTCTTATTTGGTAAGGAATGTGTAACAACACTGTGCAGTGTTGCAAGAAAAGAAAAACATTGCACGTGTGCACTGCCTAGTTGTAACACCTAGACCCTTGACGGGATAATGCATAAAAATAATACCTGTACATGGATCCAATAATACCATTTATCTTGTCTCACCAATTTTCTGGAATAAATCTTGTTCCTGTTTACTACTTTTGTACACCATTGCCTACTACAGTCATTTCAACTTTGTTGCAAGTTGCAACATTAGTAAACTTTCAAAACTGTTCTGTATGTTCTTTACGCCTTGAAACATTTATTGACATGAAACAAAATTTATAAGCTTTAACTCAAGATCCTTGTTACAACTTGAAAGAACATTACAATAGCATGACTGGAATATTGAAAACTAAACTATTGTAAAAAGCTATTGTGAGTAAACCATGAATCTGATAATTCCATACCTAATCATTTGGTACTGGTGTTTTTACAGGAAGAACACGCTGAGACACAGTGTATCTTGACAAACACAAAAGATGTTTCAGAAAATGATTCCATCTCGAATGTCACCTTCACATTCAACTTCACCGGTTTAACGTAAGTTTAACCTTCAAAACCTCCTTACAGACCCCCTGTAAAAGTTTGATTTTGCAAAAGGATTCTACATGACTACTTACATGTACGTACATATGTACATGTAGTTGGTCTACCAGTTTTTAACCAATGGATTGAGGTGGAACTGCTTGTCCCTCTTATGTTGACTTAGTTTGTTTCCACTACAGGCCTACAAATTCATTAATTACATTCCATTATGGTTTTCACGTGGCCAGGCTGAATGTCAAGCGTATAGGATGGAGTTTAAAACAACTTCACATCTTTGAGGTGTCAGATGAGCAACCAGATTGCAGTAAGGATATGAAGGGAGATTATGCCAATGGACGGAGAAGAGACACAGCAACTGGTAAGAAGTGATGTTAAATATTGAAGATGATGCTGCAGTGATGCTGTACACTCACATGAATTCTTAAGCTTGAGGCCTGCGTTTGGCAAATCAGGATACCCTATCTGCCCTGACATGAAGTGCACCCTCACCCGCGAAAGAAAGACAGGTGATACTAAGTTTTCCAACCGGGTTCTTGCAAGCATTAGGTGTGCACGCGAAGACCACACATTCCAGACTAAATTCGTTGTACGTACTCTGCATCAAACGCGCTTAAACTTGCATGCCAATGCGGTGAGTGTGTACTAAGGGGGCTTTCAGTTTCACTTTCAAAACACACCCTCTTTTGTTCCTGCTCGGAGCAGATTGGTCAAAGAAGCATGTGACGAGCGCACACCCAGTGTCCACAAGCTACCTTGTTTGGTACAAGCTACCAAGCTTGTGCTACCTGTCCACAAGCACTGTGCTACCTGTCCACAAGCACTGTGCTACCTGTCCACAAGCATTGTGCTACCTGTCCACAAGCATTGTGCTACCTGTCCACAAGCATTGTGCTACCTGTCCACAAGCATTGTGCTACCTGTCCACAAGCATTGTGCTACCTGTCCACAAGCATTGTGCTACCTGTCCACAAGCATTGTGCTACCTGTCCACAAGCATTGTGCTACCTGTCCACAAGCATTGTGCTACCTGTCCACAAGCATTGTGCTACCTGTCCACAAGCATTGTGCTACCTGTCCACAAGCATTGTGCTACCTGTCCACAAGCACTGTGCTACCTGTCCACAAGCATTGTGCTACCTGTCCACAAGCACTGTGCTACCTGTCCACAAGCACTGTGCTACCTGTCCACAAGCATTGTGCTACCTGTCCACAAGCATTGTGCTACCTGTCCACAAGCATTGTGCTCCCTGTCCACAAGCATTGTGCTACCTGTCCACAAGCATTGTGCTACCTGTCCACAAGCATTGTGCTACCTCAGTAATAGCTTCTAATTCTGGTTGCTAAAATACACTGCACTGTGTCAAAATATTGCTTCACTGCACAGGTGCGCCATTCATGCTGAGAATTGGAAATGCTACTTTAGGAAGGTTTTCTCCATGTATACAGTGTATGTAAGGGGTTCCAAGAGGGTCTTTTCAAACAAGCATCAAGATTATCTGGAAATACCCACATATGATCTGAAATTTGTCTTTACTTCTTACCTCGTTTCCAGCAGGACAGAAACAAGTGACGAACCAGAAACAAGACTCACAACCAGGCCAACTATACAATGAAACACAACCTTCTGTCAACCAGAGCTCACAAGACATTCATGTACCACTGCTCAAATATATCCCCATACAGGGAGATAGAAATGTCTTCAATGCAAGTGTAAGTGTTGGGACACATCCTTAAAGATGCAAGTAATAAATCAACGCAGTAATTACTCTTGTCTATGAAAGACATGGTGTGCAACGTACAAATCTTGAAAAGTATGGGCTGCAACATGTACAAAGCATGCAACATGCAATAATGTACGTATATGGGTAATTCCCTAAATTTGGGACCCAACTTGTGACATTTTTAGTGTCTACCTCAGGCATGAAACCAATCAGTTTGTTCGCACTTTATACAATAACAAGTAAATGAAATATTTCGTCCATTTAACAGTATATTAGGCAGCACACAAGCTTGTTATTTCTACCACTTTCCTTTTTCTAATTGTTTTTCTGTTGTAGTGTCAACCGACCTTCAAAATTTGTTTCATGTGTAAGGGGGACACCAAAAGTGTCACACATTGGGTCCCATATTTATGGAATCACCTATATGTATACCTCCAACACTCTGTAGCTTAGAAAAGATCCAATTAAAGGTGATGCCTGAGACAGTGTGTTCAGTTTTATTCAGCAGAATGCTTCCGTAATTGCTGATGTTATTTTAACAGAACCCTTGTATTATCAGGAATAAAAACAATGAAGAACAAAGGATTAACTTAAAAATGTCCTTGTTATAAGCAGAATCCTGCATTGACAGTACTCTTACAAAAGGGGTTCAACTGTACTTACCCTTAAAGTAACATTACAAAAGGCTGAGATCTGTCACTGTGAATTTATTTTTATGAGAGTCGTGCCCCATCAGCTGCCAAGACTTTTGAATGAAATGCTTTTTGTACCTCTTTATTTCTAGACTACTCAGCCATTCATGACTGAAGCATCGTGTCCTGATTTTCTTTCTGAACAGTTGAAGGAACAGTAACAATGATTTGTTTTTGTGTCATTATAGTTCTATGTGTGTATAAAGACCGATTACGAGGAAGGATTATATAATCTGTTCTTCCACAACTGCAACAAGTCAAAACTCAGTCTCATTGTAAGTAAAATAAGAATCTTTCTTTTATAGGAGGGAGTTTAATTAAAGATTTGCTTGTCTACAGTTTCACTAACGAGATATTTTAACTGTTTGGTTAACAAGGTGATTGCCTGGTAAAATTTTACCATGTTCATCTCAAAGGTGTTCATCTTTCTGTTGTTGGTGTATACCAGATGCCATTTTGAAGTAGAGTTTGCAGTAATTCTGATGATATGGCATTGCCCAATGAAGATAATATCCCAATATAAAATTCACTCATACTTACTGACCAGAAGCAACTTTTGCCATTCTTTTAAAATGTCTTTCAAACCCTTTACAAAGTATAATTTACATGTATCAGTGAGTACTCCATGTTCAAACACAACTATGAAACTACTTCACATTGTAGAAATTGACCATTCATGTTAATTGATGACATCAGCACAAGATGACTTAGGTTCTGTTTTCCATTGGTACAGATTAGCGTCGTTGAGATGAATGCAGGAGGTAACTACTTATCTGCCGGCGATATTCCTCTCCCAACTCTCTTTATACTGGTGTCCTTTGTATATTTTGCCTCTGCCTGCTATTGGTTCATCTATCTGCGCCAACACAAGGAGGACGTTTTCAAAATTCACTATCTCATGTTCCTGCTGGGTGTTCTCAAGACTCTTTCACTCATGTTTCATGCGGTATGTAGTCATTACCTGTCCCCACATGAATGATAATCCAACTCAGATATACTAGGAGTAGGCCTGTTTAAGATGATAGTCATATTGTAATGAAATCTACAGATGTACTTACTTTACCCTTTATAAAAGTGATTCAGAAAGACATTTCTTTACTGTCTGTTCTCAGATGTTGCAACAAAAAAGGGCTCTTATCCTACCAATTGCTTGGTTTATCCTCAAACACTTACTACATCTGTCCACAATGACAGACTTTGCAACATTCTTTATTGTGCCATCCATATGGATGAATGTGTCATTCTTCTGTTTGTGTGAATAGTTCATTCTCATACTGCTGTTTTAATATTTTCCCATTAACTTCCTTACGAAAAATAATTTGTGTATTTCTTTCTAGATGGATTATCATTTTATTTCTGCGGACGGATCACCAATGGAAGCATTTGCCATCCTCTTCTACATCACTTACCTGTAAGTTATATTTCCTACATGGCGTCTCCATTTTCCTGTGAATTTCTTATTCTTTGAACTTCTTGTTATTAATCAAAGAATGTGGAGTGCATGTCCCTGTCAAAGTGAATAGAATGTGTAACAAAGATGCAGTTGCAAATATTTCATCGTAATGGTATTGATAGGTCGTCCTAATCCACCAGGTTTTTAAATTTCATTTTCCTTCCTACACTAAATTTCTGTTCCAGGCAAATTGACACTCTTTTTTCTCTGTTGGTCCCTCAATCTTTCTCAGGATTAAAGGAGCATTGTTATTCCTGAACATTGCACTAATTGGTTCTGGTTGGGCCTTCGTTAAACCAATCCTTTCAGAGAAAGACAAGAAACTCTTCATCTTTGTCATCCCGCTACAGGCAAGTATAAATCTAACCAGCATCCTGCAAGGTTTGCCTGTATGTGTTTCATCAACGATTTGAAAACATCATGATTTCAAAAGATTGATTCCCTAGAATTAGGGCAATTACAAATTAAAAATACGGAAAACGTCTCTGGGATTAAAAACCTGACTAGTAAACTGATTCCATTTAGCATGATTTCCTTTTATTACATACAAATGTTGCTAGTTATGAAAACATTCATGTAGCACTTCTAACGATGGCAAACATCACTTAACTTGGAGAATAGTGCCAGCTTCAGGAACAGTGTAGTGACTGATGTCATTCAGTATGTACGTGTATTTGAATGTGGCTAAATCACGTGCTGAAATGAGTAGGACGTTTTACATCAAGTGAAAATGAATATCTGTACTTACATGTACATAGCTTTCCTAACTAGGCCAAGTGTCAAGCAGAGCCAATGTTGCCTGCTCTAACCTCATGAAAGCTTTCGGCGTTTGCTCTTTTACTTTCTGTCTCAGGTGTTTGCCAACGTAGCCTACATCATCACTGACACATCAGAAGAAGGGGAATCTGAGTATGCAACATGGAAGACTGTTTTTGTCTTAGTCGACATCCTTTGCTGTGTTGCTATTCTTTACCCTGTGATCTGGTCCATTAGACACCTGCAAGAGGCAGCAACTACAGACGGCAAAGGTGAATAGTGTTTTGTGTTAGTAGACAGTTGTGTTTAACATTGTTTTTTATTAAGCCCAGAATAAAGACCCATACAAACATTATTCTGTTTATTTTTCAGCGGCCATAAGTCTGTCCAAGTTAAAGCTCTTCCGACATTTCTACATTTTGGTAAGAGGAATTCGCTATATTATGTGTAAACATAATTGAAGTAATTGGAATGATGTATAACTCATACTCAAGTGAAATCTATATCTGTGGTAACCTCATTTATGTTCTTTACAGATTTCATCTAGAAACATACTTGTTAAAAAACTATTTTCTTGTGATTATTTAAGTACATGTATTTTCCTGTCGTCAGTTTTGTACTAAAGTGTGTTTCTACCATTTTACTTGGGGTGGGAGTTTTAATAATTTGTTTCCTTTTCTGACCACAGGTTGTTTGCTATATTTACTTCACTCGCATCATCGTATTTCTTGTGAAAGTAAGTAATGTCATCTCTTCCTCTAACTTGTCCTCCTGCTCATTTAACCCTTTACATTTTTACAAAAAAGTGAAGCTTGAAAAAGATCAAAAGAATGATAAACTGTTCCATGAACTTGTGTTGCTAACATTTAATATTGATTTTTTTCTTCTCTTGAAGATCATCGTCCCCTTCCGCTACATGTGGCTGGATGAATTCTTTTTTGAACTTGCCACTTACTCCTTCTTTGTTATCACGGCTTACAACTTCCGTCCTGGATCAGACAATCCATACTTCCAAGTTCCCAGCGATGATGAAGATGAAGTTGAAATGGAGGAAGTGTAAGCATGAATCTCTCACTGAATTAATTAGTACCTGATCCCCAAATATTGATTACACAGCCATGAGGTTACGATATAAAAATAGAATGCCGCTGTAAGTATGAAGTGCAAGTTGTCATGATAATTCAACTTCCAGACAATACAAATGTATCTGCAGAAAGTTGAAAATGGCATGATTCCATTCTTGAAATTATCCCCTTTGTTTTTATAAACTAGTTAATCAATCTTAATAATTTCAATTAGCAAAACTTGCATGTCAAACCTTTTCCTCTAAAACATCAAGTAAATGCATACCAAATTCTGGAAAATAGTGTTATTGGGCATCCTGCTCAAACAAAAAAATTCCTCAAGTGAACAGAATTTAACAGCTGTTGCCCTTTTGAAAAATAGATTAACAGAGAATGGCATGACAGAGGGACTGATGAAGGTGCATACTACTAACACATCTACAACCAAGGCAGTTCAAAGAGAGGGGAATCACACATCAGCATGATCAGACAAGATGCTGATTAGATGAGAGCTGTCAGGACTAAGTCTTGGTCTTCAACTAGACTTCATCACTGTCAACATCTTGCACAAACGTAGCTCTTGCCTTCAATAGTGGGCAATATTTTACACTGAATGGCTTCAGAAGAGCTCAGTGAGGATTTTTCAACTTGATGAAGCAAGTTGTTTGTGTATCTGAGCAAAATGCAGTGGTGCATTTAGGATCCGTAGTATTGCGGAACGCAAACAGTGACTAAAGTGGTGAATGACAAGGACTGGTGTAAGCAGCCAATCATCGTGAGATTTGATGGATCTCAAGGCAGCTAGCAATATAGGTATTTTATATCTTTGTTGCTTTGCAGCTGGAGTTGTTTAGATTTATTATTATGAACACGATTGAACAGGATAACTTGGACATAAAATACATGCCAAAAGCAGGGTGTTTATTTTGTTCTTCAATATGCATCTACATACACATATATGGCACAATGAGATGGAAATTACCTGTTATTGCCTTTTACTATTAATGTTTGTTTGAGTCCGACAGTAGATAACAAGTTGGAAGGATATTTTCTAAAAAATCTGAAGTCTACTTTATGCCAGGCAGATGTTATAATTACCATGCCAAAATATCCAGACCGATGTAGTGTTACTGAATCTGTAATAAACGTAAGGTGCTATTTAGAAAGGTAAGGGAATTATGCTGTTGTTTTGTTTTTAAAAATTGTTATTCATGGTACATGCAGTGTTCAGCAGAGACAATTTTTCTTGATATGAAGCCAATTAAACAGGAAATGGTCATCTTCGTTGCCAAAAAGTTTCAACAGTTACCCAACATACATTTCTTAGTGATAATCACTATTGTCAAAAAGTGCCTTACCATGGAAGTTCAAATGAATCAGAATGAAATAAGACAAACTTGTTTCAGCAGTGATCATTAATTTTGTTTGTTTGTTTGTTTTTTTGTTAATTTTTTTTTCTGTATTAAGAATTTGGTCACTTCTCTAAATCTTTAAGAAAATTGGTAAGAAATGACTTGGTTACAGGAAGACTCAAGTTACACTGAAATGGTTTGTGTGCTGTTTATTATTTATAAAATGTTTAGGGGTCTTATACCATACATGAATGTGTATTACATTAGAGCATGATAATGTATATGTGTAAGGTCTTTTGCGCACAGTTAAACTGCATATTCCTAGCCTTCATTAAAGATATCCTTTTAATATCTTTGTGTTGGAACATGGATTATTGTTCAAATTGTTCAGATGTATCATTTGTATAGGGCCAATATTATTTAAAAACTGTATTAACCTTTAATAGACCCCTGTACTAATGACACCACACTTTGTTTATACATGTATGTGTGCTTTCCTATGGTGCTCAGTGGACTATGGACCACTGGCTCCAAAGGACAGTGCACCTGTAAACAAAATGAGACATCCTTAGTACACAGGCCTATTCTATTCATTAGGGTTGTGATGAAGCCTGGGTTAGTGGATAGACAATTAGTCATCAATACCCTCCACATGACCTCACCTTACGGAAAAGAACCTGGAAGAGGAAGAACTGGAAGCAAGAAGTTTAAGCTCTTCACTTTTTTTCCTATCACAGCCCTGGACACTGAAAGTGTCTGGATGTGTTCTGATCCTCCGTACACATTTATGATAGGTGGGAATTTTTGCATTTTGAATCAATATTGTAAAAAGTTGGATGTGCAAATTATAAATTCTAGTATCAAAATTGTTCCCATTCTCCTTATTTATTACTAGTGTGTACATGTACTCTACCATATCAGTTTTGTTTACTTCGCATCAGTCCTCCAAATTGTTCAAATTATCCCTTAATACCACTTTGGAACACAAATATATGTACATTTATATACAGAGTTTGAATGTACTGAATACTGAAGTTGTGGATCAATGAGATATAAAAGTTGCTGTTGAAGTATGAGAGATTTTTGATATCCAAAACACCCGTGGTATCCAGGGGAGATGATCCTAAGGTACATGTATGCATTTCAAGGGTGAAAACCAACTTCTCTGCCCTCGATTCATCTGTCAACAAATAGTTTGTTTGGGGGAAGAATTAATTTACTCAAAGCCACAAAAATATTGATTTAATGCCAACGTAACCCAGATTTGATGACTGTTGCACAGTCAGTTTTATGACAGAATATAACACATATAAGATATGATGTAAGACGTACATGCACCAAGGAATTTCGTGAAGTTATATATACATGTAAATCAAATGCACCATTAGTCAATATACGTATCTTATTACACATCACTTGATTACAAACATGCCAATAAAATGATTTTTCTGTGCTCTATGGCACTTTTGTTTGACCAACAGTTCATTGAAATGGCATTGTACATGTATTGTGGTCTACTGAAATGGAATGCAGCTTGGGCAACAATGACAGTTTTTGTCAACATGTTAACAAGTAAGACAAACGTTACCGTGAAATAATTGAATAATCTTAACCGTTAACCTATGAATAACCTTATCCCACACCACTTTGGTCAACAGTTGGTAAGGAATGTAAAATATTGATTTTTACAACTCCATGTTTTTTGTCCTTTACTTAACAGAGGTAATAAATGTGTTGCTACATGTATGACATATTTTGTTTGCAATATTTGTAATTTTATTGATTGCTGTTGAATTAATTCTGCTTGAATACTACTTTTGCCAGGTGACTCTGGAAATTTAAATGTTATGAAGTGTTTTATTCGACCAAAGGAAGATGTTTAGGCTCATGAGTGACAAGTGTCGGAGGTAAAGAGAACATGATGATGCTGAAAAACATGCATTGGGCGTATTAAAAAAAGCCTGAGTATCTGTTGTATTTTGCCCTGAGGTCTCTTCAAAAACATCTGCTTGCATTTATTGACACGCACCTATTTTTGGCATAGAGAAGCATAATAAAAAGATATTTAAAACTATTCGAAGAAAACTGCTTAACCTTACTTTTTATTACTGTTTTATAGAATATTATTAATCCAGAAGTGATGGATTTTCTTTTTTATGAATTTTACAAAAAAAAGTAATAAAATGCTGAATAGTGACCATGAAAGAACAGCTTCTTATCAGGTATACTTAAAAAGAGGGAAGTTCTTTTACAGTTCTCCTTCATCCCCAAATTTTAAAAACTTTTTTAAAATTATGGATCACCATTTCACTATTCCATATTGTTCATACTTGTTAGGGCTTGGCCGCATTTAGTCCTTTTCTCAACAATTTTGTGCAGAATATCGGCTAGAGTTTGGCCTTATGCTCGCTGTAAGTGTGCAATGCTATAGCTCATGACATGGGACATTCGCCTAGCCCCGGCCCGGAGTGGCTGGCGACTTGATGAGTCGCCGAATGTCAAAAAGCCGTTATGCAGTATGCCCGGATATTTCAAGCTGCAACTTTCTTTCCCACTCCACTTTATTGACAGGTATTACAAATCTGGGACCATCACAGTTTAAAAAGCGAAGAAGAGCATGTTCCTAAGCTGCACGTGGGGAAACAGCTTTGACATCATGTACATGAGGTTCGTTCGCGTTGTCCGCATCACGCCCTCCCGTAGAAGCGCGGCGGACGACAGTAATCATTATGGTTAAACTTTCCACGGTCCCGTACGGAAATCTTTCCCCAAACGTTATAAGGTTTATTTACATAAGATAAAAGACACAATAATGTTGCCAAATTACCTTTCTCTGTGCTTCTTCTCGGAGTCGAGTGAGAACCTCACCAGACCATCAGCGATGGGTAACGTGTTCAGTGCACTGCACGCGCGCGAGGGAACACCTAGAGCAGTGTAGACATTACTGGTTCGACCATGTGTTTCTTCTTTTAAAAACTGTGGCCTCCTTACACTTTCCATTTACTAGTCTTGCGCCCCCTGCTGGTCGTCCTTAGGTATTTTAGGTCCTTGTGTACAAGGTTACATGTGCGTACGCGTGGAGGCGATGCAAATTAATTATTTTTTAAGGCTACAAATCATCATTTTGCAAATTTCTCTATTGTCCCGAAACACTTTGCCAAAGCACTTAGCGAGGGTTGGTGGAAGCTGAATAATAGAGTTGTCGAGGTTCATTTCATCTAAATTATGTTTCTCACAGGTCACTCGGAAATAGGGCTATGAGATCTCAATGAAATATTTTTTAAATGATTTTTTATCCGAATAATGTTCATAAAAATTACTCAACTCTTTGCTCCGTGGTGCGGCACACTGGGCAACCCCATACAACCGCCCGCACGACAATGAATTAAAATTGGCCCCAGTGCATTTACATTGTGAACGAAAGCTTCGCACAGCACGCTCGCATGCAAGTCGCGAATACCCCCTCCCCCATTTTGCGATCCCCCCTTCTAAAAATTCTGGATCAGCCCTTCTAAGATGTACATCTACTTCTAACGTTATACTAATTATTACGAAAGAAATGACAATGGAAATGAGTTGCTCCAAGAATGATTAGAAGTCATCAATATTCGCTAGGTTTTTATTAATTTAACTAAATTCTTATATACGTATTTCCATTTGAATTTGTCCCCTTTTCCACAAAGTGCTTTATTTTTTGTAATTCATATATTTAAGTTTTTAATTTATACAGAAGATCAAACAGAAATCGAATTTTCTCTATAGTCGTCAGTAACTTAGGAAACTAAAGCAAATTGGACAGTGCCACTGAATGCAGCGCTGGCTCATTTTCCTGAAATATCCTTCATCCGTGCTCAACCAAAACATATGATTCAAAGAAAAAAAGCAATGAAACAATCATTTAATTTAGTGTATCTTTCTTATGTACATCGAATGAAAATGTTTAATTTACACCTTGGTTTCTGCATTAACATTTGCCCGTCTCGTTCATTATTCCAAAGGTTTCACGTCATCCTAAAAATTACATTGTAAATTGTAAAAGTTTCAACAGATTCAGTATGGCACACTTCCCAGGTATTTGATAATGGTTAGGAACTCACAACGCCGTCGAATGACATCAAATAGTATTTGAAGAATTCATTTCTTTTCATACTTTTGGTTTCATTTCAATTATCTACTGCCGAACTAAAGCGCCCTGTTATAGCACCTTCACTTAGTGCGAATGCGTAATTGGAATTAAAAACCATTAGTTAGATGCATACAAACTTGTCACAATCTCAGCGCACACTGAACGCGCTACCATCTTACCCAGAAGTAGCGGCCAATGCAGAAACAAACTCCAAAAGAAAGTAGCCACTATGGACTCATAAATTTATCTAGCAGGGCTTAATAAATATTGATAATGTATGTTAAATATACAAATAAATTAGTAAGACGATAGGAATCTATAAGCACTTGGAATCCATGCCATGTGCGAGTAAATTAGTTCATGAAACATTGATTTTGAAACATTACACAAAAGCCCTGGGTGATTTGGTTTAATTTGATGCATTCAAACAGCCACTTCACCATCGTATTATTTTAAGCCAACGAAATCTTACTGTACAGAATCACTTGTAAATGCTAACAATAAAATCCGCAATTTTGAAGTGGAGTTATTAATGTTTGGTTTGCAGAAACATTGAATTTATTCAATTTTAATGATTCCCCAACAATCCTATCTTTCCAATTACTTCAATTTTCTGTAAATACTTCAATAAAGAGGCAAGCATTGTTAACTACATACACCATGCAAACTCCTAAGGCATACTCTTTAGACCGCTATATTTTTTTGCAGGTAATATTTTGTACAAGATAAATAATGGAACTAATTACAGTCAACACCACGTAAGTATGAACGTCATCTCGTCGAATGTTTACATCATCAATACTTATACAAAATGTTTAAAACAGCATCCAAATTACAAGGAAATCAACTGAGACAGTTGTACAAGTCATCATTTTTAATCACGATGAAAATGACGCATTGAAAGGTACAACACCCTTTTCCTAAAAGTTTGTCTTAAATGGAACATGATCTGAGAACACATCGTGATAGAAAAAGACTCATTTAAGAAGGGTGCAGTGTGGATATAGCCTGGTCCTGTGACAAAAGTGAGCTGATCAAGTAAGGCTTAATGCATCCGAATCTCTTGTCTAAAGCTAGGCCTAGGTCTTCGCTCCATTGGAAATGCATGGAGACGCGCAGACAATAGACCTAGCCGTAGCTCTGGAAGCCCGTTTCGGACTCGGCTCAGTGAGGCTCCTTGCGGCTGGTGTATAAATTTAAAACTTTCGAAGCAAGAATGCAGGGATTGACGTTGAACGAGATGCTTTAGGCTTGAATTGAGAGACAATGCAGGAAGAATGAAATCTGGGGGCTCCCTTTGCGAGTGGAAATTCTTCTTGATCTCGAGAAATTGACATAAAGCACTGCAAGTTGAATTCCACATTATTAAAACAGTGTCTGAAGGCTTGGTCCATTTTACAGAGTTGTATTGGCTCGAGTCAATGACTGGAATCTAGTCCGACTCGAGTCACACTTCGTGGAGACTCGACTCGAATCCCGACGAGTAAATACCTCGACTCGATTCTCTGCGACCAAATGACTCGACTCGATTCTCTGCGACCAAATGACTCGACTCGATTCTCTGCAACCAAATGACTCGACTCAACTCGAATTTCGCATGGAGACTAGACTCAAGTAGAAGCTTATAAGACTCAAGTCTCCAGAAATTAAAAGCAAATTTTAAAGCTGGATACCTGTCACCCTAATTTATTTTCAATATGTTTAAATGAAAAAAATCCAAAAATGACTTGCATTTAGCTGTATTTTGTTCAAAAATTTTGTGACTCAAATTGTCTCGAGCTCGGTAGGCCTACTTGGCTCGACTCGACTACATAAAGTGACTCGACTCGACTTCTTGACATAATTACTCGACTCGCGTCACCAAATTTAGTGACTCGTTACAACACTGCTATTTCATTTCATGACAGACCCCCATATGGCAAACATTTTCAACTTCTCCATTTTTTAGCTAAACCACCGTCTAAATATATTCGTAGAGTCTGATATGGCAGAGTAAGAGGGCGTAAAACAGATACATTTCGTAGGATAAACTAATCAACCGATGTTAAATTAAGGCAATTGAAAAGTTTCCATATTTTAAAGCATCTAAGGTAAATTATGGCTACACTGCAGCTGTTTGATTAGATTCAAGAGACATATCTTCAAATACATAGGTAATTTACAAAATTTTCCACTCACAGTTCAGCTTCAGTTGTACTGTTTTCATGAAATATTCTTTGTATGAGAAAAGCAGAAGCACAATACCACTTTAAAAATTTTCAAGTTCCGTATTTTCTAAGATTATTTCATTAATACGATGAGGTATAAAAGTTGCAGGTGGGGAGTTGTTGTTGAGATCAACATTGTGTAAATTACACTTATTTTATCAAAATACAATTTATGCCACTTAAAAGACTCAGAAAAAAATTTAATTTTCTGCAAGAAGTGGACAATGTACGGCACTAACTACAAAACAAAAAGGGAAGAATAAAAACTGAAATACACATTCTTTACTTTGAAATACATACATCTCAGAAAAGCTGATAAACGCAACTCACCTTCGTAAACACGTAGTAATTTCAGAATCTAAATACATCCATATTTAATATAAGAAAAGTTAGCGATAACCTATTGAATTTTTGGTGCCTCCCGGCAAAATTTTCCCTGGCTGGTTTTTATGAATGCTCATCAATCCAGTTCGGTTTGATTGGTTCCTCTTAGCTGGCTTCAAGCTGATTGGCTGAATAGATTTCTAACTGGTCCTCTGCTAGTGCTGGTTTCTTCACAAGCTATGCGTACTGTATTTACGGTTTCTATTTGCCAGGTTCCCTGTTATCTTGTTCTCTATTGGTAGGCTTCATGTTGGCTGGTTCCCATCTTCCCTAAACTTCAGTGTTTCTATGCGAGCCTAGGGCGTCATCATCATCAATAAACATCAGACGATCAGCAGCCAAGCCATTGGGTGGTTGGTCCTCTTCTTCTTTATTGGCTGTTGTACTATTGACCAATGGCCTCAGTTCAATATCATCTTCTTGTTCCATCCATTCTGAATTTGTATTATCTCTGGCGGATTTCATATCTACCATTGCAATCGAGCATCCTGATGACATTGATATCATACTGTCTCTCCTCTCTGGTTCCTTCATGGCATCTTGGAGAGCTTTGAACATCCCTGTTCCTAATCCTCCCTCTTCGGCAACATCCTTATCGTTAACCTTAGCATCAACTTCTCTGATCTTCTTATCCATCTCAGAGAGAGCTTCAAACATGTCATACTTGAAGCCTGAAATATCCTGTTTGAGTTCGTTCAATATGTTGGCCTGGTCATCTTCTTCCTCTTGGTGACGTTTCTCAAAGTGGTAGCGACGGACTACCTGTTCCGATACCTCCTATTGTTAAAGGTTAAATATCCCAGGTTATAGTAATAGTGCGCATTGATAGCACTAACTTCATTTATCTCTTCGAAGATGGAAAATTCAGGCTGTATCATAGACCCCAAATCCCAATTTACTGATTTTTTCCAGTCAGTAAACCTGGACCTTCTTTACAAAATCCATTCAATATAAAGTTTGGTGGAGAAAACACCCGGAAAAGTAAACTAAAACATTAAATAACAAAATTAACAAAGGATATTATGTTCAGAGATCATATCTAAAAACTTTTGACTTACCCTGAATTTCATTTGTCTCTCATCTACAATACTTCGCAGACGTTCCTGTATGGGAAGAGATCAAAACATTATGTTATTACACTAACGGGTTTATCTGTTCACGTACTCATTAATAATATTATTAGACTGTGTTAAATTAATACTTCTGGATGATTTCTAAATAGTCAAGTGTAGGCTTTTAATAACTTATCTGTGCATTCTGACATATGTTGGTTTCAATCTCAGTTCAAAAACTTTCATCAAATGCTTAGAGATTTTTCCTATTGCACTAAGCTGATTGCCTTTCTTCTCTTCTCGTTTTTCTGTAAACTGATAACAGTTGAGGATAAAATATAGAACAAGAGAACCCCAGAAAATTGTTGTATTTTGAAATCATTGAGAGGGAGCTTTTACGGCATAAAGACTATTTGATATCGTGACTGCCAATCATCATACCTTGTATTTCTTGGCCAAGTCCTCTCTGCAACAGACATCACAGAAAAGCCATCGCACAAAGTAGTAGATGGATTTGGGTGTAGGGATAATATTGAGAGGAGGTGGAACAGTTCCTAGCTCATCAAAGTAACTCATCCACAACTTGGACCGAGAGAATTTCCACTCGATGTCTGCATCCATCTGGTGACAAGTTAAAGGAAAAATTGGATGATATTTATCTCAATGCTGAATGTATTTTTTGTTCTCTTATTCAAATTCCTTTTTTAGAAAATACCCTCTGAACAGAGGCTTATATACACAAACCACGAAACATTATTTAATAAAACAGGAAAAGATCAAGGAAAAATAGTTTAGAATGTCAAATAAAAGAAAAATTCAACCACTGAAAACAGGCCAAATGAAACAAACGGACGAAATTAAATACGAACAATCTGATCGCAGATACAATGTGCTAAATAGCTTTAAAATCGGAAGTTGTTCAAATGAATAGTATGTCAACTAAGATATTAGTTGGATTTCAATAAGTTGCATTCGAAAAATGAATGTGATGAAAATTCTCCCCCATATATACAAATATCCCTCAACAGGATAATAATGATTACAGTTCTTGTATAGCGCCAAGTCCGCCTAACTTGATGCTCCAGGCCAAATGATATAAGTTCTAGTTACAAGTTCTAGTTGAAATTTCTAGTTACAAGCTCTAGTTACCTCAACTCTTGTGTATGTATTGCTCATCATAGCAATGAGTACATTCAACAACACTACGATTGCAATGATGTGGTAGACAGCATAGAGCAGATGACCAACACCCTCAGTGAAATGATGATTAATTCCTGGTAGACCCACAATGGTGTAATCAGGAAGACCAAATAAAGCCCAGAATAAAGTCCCCATCGACTCCATCAACCTGACAAGAAAAGAGGATAAAAAGAATGGTTCAGGTCCCATCCAATACAAAATGTAAATAGGACTTGTCAGTGTGTACCTTGTTATGCGCAAAAAAGTTTTTCTTCTACTTGATCTTCAGGATCTACTTGTTCAAAAGTTTTAACTGAATGTTGAGCAGTGATGAGGATATTAACTTGCTTGAAAGGACAACATTAAGCAGGAAGGAGGAAACAAAAATGTAGAACACACAAAAGAAAACAAACTTTTGCCAAGCTACAGCTGCCATTATTCATTTTGTTAATGGGTTAAGAGGTCAACAGGTTTGCGAAAGAAAGTTATATTCACCACACAAAAAAGCAATTATTTATAGTTTTAATCTTTCACTATTTTTCTTGACACTCACGATCCAAAGGGTTGGTTGACGAGATGCTTTGAGTAGTACCAATACAGCTGGTTCATTCCCATGGAGAAAGCGAACCAGACAAAGCAGAAGATGATGAGAAACTTGGCAATATCCATCATCATTCCACCCAAAGATATCTGCATAGGTCCCACGTGACGGTTGATGACAGTCAGACAAATCATACGCATGAAGCTCATCACCTTAGCCAAAGCAAACAGAGCTTCAGCGACCAAGATAGGGTCATAGGGTTTCCATAAAAGCCGAGCAAATTCCTCAGAGTTATTGCCTGGAGGTGGAGTCTGCAAATGAGAATGAGATTAACAGTCACATTTCTAGCATTCCCACCACTGTCTTCAATAATACTTTCTCTTTTCCCACGAAAAGAAAGCAGTAGAAGAACTGTTTAGAAACTTGCAATACAAGTTGACAGATAAAGTAAAAGCTACACAGGTATAAGAAAATAGGAAGTTACAACGATGGATTCCATGAATTGAAATTAAAATTGAAATTCAATTGAATTGAAAAATGATCAAATGTCAAGATGGGCCATTCAGTACCCCCTCCCAGTTGACCCTGTGAGCCCCTATTCCTCCCCCTTCTATTGCATAAGTTAGATTTTACTCACCGGTATCACAGTCCGTTTCTTCCCACTAAGAGTGTCTGTCAACATATTCAAAATGTCCGAGTTCATAGCATTTTGGTCTGCAATCAATCCATCAATCTTGTTCGAGATGTCATCCAATGTCAGTCCCATATCTTGAAGATCTTCTCTGATATGAACATTGTTGGATTCAGAGGTTGATAAAGAAGGATCAGCGCTTGGAGTTGGTTGGTCTGTAGTGTTAACTCCCTGGGAACGAGCTACAACTTGATGAGCTGCTGTACCCCTTTGAGACTAAAATCAAGAGAAATTGAAAACTGTAATTAAACATGTCATTATTTAAGAAGAGCATTCATTCAACCTGCAAGCTATGGAGCAGATTATATGCTCACTATTTACCCTTGCCAATAGTTTGGTAGCCCGAGGAAAAGTGATGACTTTTTCATCTGTTGAGTTATTTTGACATTTTCAGGGATAAGTTTACATAATGGTCTGACTTAGTTGAATATGAAAACACACCTGGAAAAAGACCATGAAGAGAAGAGCGATGACGGTCCAGTACAAAACCAACGTCACAAAATCAAAATAGTTCCAGAGGTTATTGAAGAACCGAGAGCCATTGTACCAAAGCTCCTTGCATTTTGACCATGTCATTCCTGGTAAAAAAGGGCAAAATACCTATGATAGTTTTCAGCCTTCTCGAGAAATAAATTAATGGTGATAATTGATGTAAACTGGTCGTTAAAATACAGCAATCTAAAAAGGCATCCATAAAAAAAAGTAATAATAACTCTTCTTTCTAACACAATTTTGTCAGTGTTGTTCTTTTAATTTTGGGTTTTGCCCTGCCTGACGTGTATTATAACACTGTATACTCAGTGTTTGCCCCCAAAGGCTTGTGGAAAAAAACAACAAGTGTATTTGCGTGGGACTCGAACCCACGACCTCCTGCTTACTAGTGCACTTTTATTTTTGTTTGACATTCTTTATGTTATTTTCCTGATAAGCAGTTACGTGTAACGGTCAGTAGTGTTTTAAGCTAAGTGCCCCAAGAGAACTTCAGCATCTTTCATCAATTCCCCATTAAGATGATTGGGGTTGTTCTGAAGTAGGACATTAGAGAGCTTGGATATAATGACACAACAACACTAAATGGCCAAGCAGTTTACACTGACTGTAAATATTTGCATTTGGTTCAAAGAACAACCATCAAAGAAGATTTCTGATTGAAAGAAATGGCAAGGTTTAGGGGCAAAGACCAATCTTCCCCTAAAAACAATTTATATAACTCATCAATTTGGGTAAATATCATTAAATGAAAGGTAAAGATATCAGAATTAAAATCACTAGAAAAAGTTTAAAATTGGGAGGAGGGGTGGAGTTTAAGAATAAGTCGAATAAATGACTATCAGAACATTTTCATTGTGGTCAATTTATTTCTAAATTATTAACAAAGAAAGGAAACCTTGGTAACAATTTTCATGGCTCAATTGATAAAACGGAACAGACATTTGCACTGACAGCAGGAACATCGGCATTTTCCCATAGTTCCTATGCAGACAAATCCAATTTAGAAGCTCAGCAGTCAGAGCTGTCCAAGAAGTTTCAAATCAACGGCTATTACCATACTTCAATTCCACATCGACGTGTTTCAATCACATTATTAACCCGAAATGCTCTAACAAAGAAATCTCGCCGGACTGCATTAAAGATAAGAGAGTTGAATTATCTTGGGAATTTATCACAATCAGGATGAATTGAACTCAGATTGCAAGTCAGGATCCCTTTATGGGTGTTCATTTATCACTCTCTCTGTCCCTACTGGCCTGTGTCAACGATAATATAGTGCCTAATCACTCCAATGAAAACAGAACAAAAAGCAACAGAAAGTTCACCAGTCTTCCATTATGAGAGTTAGGAAGACTTTTTAGAAACCAATCATTCGGGCCATTGACATCGAACAAAGGTCCTTTTTATACAGAAAGTATACCAAACTGCTTCAACCTTCAATCTCAACCGATTAGAATTCAAGACGACTTTACCTCAATGGGTCAAACTAGATATTCCAAAACTTACATATGTGAGATATAATACAATTGGACTGTGCCATAATTTACTATTCATAGTTAAAATTGTACCTGCCACCCAAGCTACAATCAAGAGCATGACTATGCTTGGAGGTTGTGCTTTAGTTGTTGTAGTTGATACCGAATCAGTAACGATTTCCTCTTCACTACTAACAGCCAACGCTGACAAAGGGTGGGAGGTGCTTTCGACTACAAGTTGAGAACAAAAAGCGAAGTAAGTGCATTATGTAATACATTCATTGCGAAACGCGGATAAAGCACAAGAGATGTTTTACACACGCTTGGAATAAAAAATAGCACTCATGGAGTTGTAATTGCAGTTTTTAGAATCTCGTATTCACACTCTAAACAACTTGGGACAACACTCAACAGATGCATTTTTAAAAGATTTTTACTTTGTCAACTTTGTTGACGTTGAATTTCCATCAGTTCAAAATAAAGGGAAACATATTCATTGCTTCATGAAATGGAGAAAGGGAATAATGATGTGATACTGAATAGATCATATCCTTTCAAAGTTGCTTCCATTCAAAATAAAAATTATTTTTGTCTTAGCTTACCTATGGTCTGATACAACAAAAGAACTAGGAAGAAAAGCTGGGATGCCGTGTGACAGACAAACTTGACGTAAGGGATGCGAAGGAATCTGCCAAGACGTCCGTAAGGAAAAAAGATGTAGGCCAAGGAGAGAATAGGAAAGCCGATGCCCATAAGGAGAACAATAAGACCAGATTTGAGGGAGCTCTGGTCTCTCCAGCCAGGTAGACCATGGTACCATTGCTCAATCAGACGTTGCTGGCAATGAGGATGAGCCACAAACTGTGAGGGAACAAATCATATCAAGCTTGACAATTATTAAATTGAACAAGAATAAATTTATGCACTACCGGAACAGTGAAATGAATTAAGTAAAGTAGTACTGAAAATGAAAATAAAAACTATAAAAATGAACATAAATAACTTAAAGAGAGCATAGAGTTGCATTTATTCAGATTATTTCAGGTCAGGAGCACCACAATTTTACATTCAACTTTAGTTTATTTGTTTTGTTTCTCTTTTGTGTCAATTCGAGTATGTCTCCTTGTGTTTTGTTGTTTCTTAAATGTTTCTTTTGTTTCATTATACTCTGCATTATACAAATAATGCTTTGCTTAAATTGATTTTTCTTTTAGAAAAAATGATTCAGGTGTTAACAAATTAACTATGAGGAAAGATTTTTTTACCTTTCTTTGTTCAAAGAAAATTGCAGCCTTGACTCTATTCGGTTGGCAAGTCTGGAGATCTTCAGATGGGTTGCTCCACCCATAGGGGTCATGATTCAAGATAAATGCCTGCTCATTGGAATCTCGGACATGATCCAGAAGACCTGCAGAAAAATCTTCACACTGACGGACCAGTTCTTGGAACTGATCGCAGAATTCGTACTTGGTCCGAGCCAGCTTACGTAGTTTGGCGCAGAGTTCAAAGGTCGTGCTGAAGGGATCGCTTGAAGTTTGGGAAATGTAGGCTTGGCTGGCTAAAGCCTTGTGGAGCATGGGATAAAGGAAGTACTTAAGTTAACTTCAGAACAGCACACATTCTTTGAGGTATCAAACAAACTTTCGTGAGGTAAAAATTAATTGCAACAACGTCTTTGTAATTAAAATTCTGTCTGTTCTTTAAGAATGATATCCTTTTATTAGTGCTTTGAACTCCAGCCTTTTAAGCGATACTTTCTCCTTGCTTTAGGTACTTTTCTGTTCTGGAAATCAAAGCGCAAAAGAAAGACAGTCATAAATTTGGGAACTTTTTGTATTGATAAAGGGATTTGAGGCTTGCATCACAGAGAACTCAAAACGGAACTATGTGTAAATAGACAATATTACAATTTCTTGTTTAAGTAAGTTGCAGTTGTAGGGCAGGAGACATAGTTTATTAGTGTTAATATTCATACTCTTTAACCTGCTCACAGATCAAATAATTATGACATTCTTTGATGATGCAATACACCATCTGAGTATTTTACCCAAATCACATGACCCTGTTTCTCGACATAACATCAACAGAGTACCATTAATATCGGTACCTACTTTGTAAAGATTCAACATTCCCACTGAGTTCTCCAGGGTATGCATCTCAGCCTCGTCGCTATAATCTCTTGGATCCTTAATTCTTGCTCCATACTCTAGCAAGATACGGATGATATCATAGTGGTTATGTTGGGCTGCCAGGACCAGCGGTGTGACGTCAGGATGAAAGTCACCATTCAAAGCTTTACAATTCAGGCATTCCTATGGCAACAGAAAGTTTTCATAAATCTGACTTTAATATATCTTTACAATATTTAAATATCTTTACAAGCTGTATTGAAATATCCAAATTGTTTCAGAAGGGAAGCCCATTTTAGGGATACTTTCAGAGGGCTATGAAAAGGAACGGAGATTAAAGAACATTTAGGGACGTTTCAAACTATTTTCGGCGAATTTAAGAACATCGATCTTTTCCATTGAAGCAATCGAATGGGGACGGACCTAATCTAACTTTTCACTGAGTTACTCTAAGTCTCCTTGTTCACTTATTTGAGATGCTCGTATAAATAAACTTCAACTAACCATGACAGTGTATCAAGATATCTAAACGTCAGAAATGAGCAGCAAAATACTTCTTTTTACCGGTATGTTTTTCTTCTTTATGTGCTCACAGATGAGGCGGACACCTTGCACAAACTGCTCATCGACTGCACGTAATAAACAATCCCCCAACTGCACGTTGTGATCCAAAAGTAACTGCACAATATCTGACAAAGAAAATTGTATTGAATGAAGTTATCAAAACGCTGACGCAAAACGAGCTGCTATGAAAACAAGCATCATCCAGTCAAGGTTGCAACCAATGAAAGCTACAAAGCTCTAAACATAGGACCAGAAGATTAGGTTTAACAGAATGAGCGTCTAGATTACAGAACTTGCCCTCACTCAGATAAGTATGTTGAAATTAATTAGAAATGACTTGAAATTGATCTTTGATTTATAGGGATAGGTGTCCCAGTGCTCCTTCGTACTCTCATACTATCAAAAACCCATGTTGTTCAATAGTTGTCTATCATTATTTAGAGGAATGCTCTTATCCTTCACCGTTTAAACTTTATTTTTGCTTTTTCTTTCCTTTTTATGCTGATTGTTTAACAAATCCATGTGTTCCTACCTGAGTTCCCATTCTCAATAGCTATCAGCAATGCTGATCTGTCATCCTGGTCGGTACAGTTGATATTCAGGTCAGGAGCGTTCTCCAAGGCAAAGATAATTGCCTTGCGATCGCCACGCTCCACGGCTTGAATAAACAGTCTCTCCACCGACGCAGCATCAGAGAAGTTGGGCCGTTGCATCGTGGGACTCTCAGGGGTTTCCTTTTTCTACACAAACACAAAAGAAAGAAAAAAAGTACATGTATTTAGATTTTTACCAACAGTGCTGTACTAGACCTCAATTTTGAGTGATGGAAATGACTCGTTAAATTGCATCAGCAAATATTCCAAGTATGTCTTTTAGAAATCCTGGTAAAACCTTGAACATCAACAAGAATGCCGGCCTGTACACAATATGTTAGTGAACGCACATCTGAAGAATACATACATTTTGCTATTTAATATGACACTTAAATATTTAAACGGAAAAGAAATTACGACGTCCGCTGTAGGGTGTCTTTATTACTTTAAGATGTTGACAAAATATTACAGTCTGAATTTTCAATTCCAATAAGAATAAGTTAAGAACTCATTCATTCAAGAGGGACTTTGATCAACGACTAGAAAAGACGGCAATGATGTCAGTGCAGATTGTTTCCGAAGTCCGAACACAAATACAGCGACAGGTGCAAGCTACAGAATAAACGTGAACTCAATTAATAGTCCAACTTGTATCGAAAATTTCAACCATAGTGAACGCTTACCGCTGCCTTCATCTCATATCCCGGAAAATAAACCTTTGGCAAATATTAATGAGTATAACGCTATCTTCTCTGATACTCTGTAAAACATCATTAATATTTGGCTAAGTTTTAACTCAGCCAAAGACAACTTTCTTCAGTAAGTCAAAACGAAAAGTCACTTCTTTCTGTTCTTGCCCTTGTATCTTTACATTGAAGACCATTTTCTTAAAACTCCAGCTCCTAGTGGCATAGCTGTTTGTTTGAAGCAACTTTTTTCGAGGGGGGGTTGTTGTGCTGTTTAACAGATGATGTTTAATATATGTTAAAGTTGACAACTGAAAGAGAAGAGTAATTTTTTCCAATGTCGATTATGATTATGACCACAGACGCACGACATAATAGAGGCTCGTATATCATTGTTACAATAGTTTGCCCTTGAGTATTAAAGCCGGCATTGGCAATAATCATATTATATGAACAACCTGGTGCCAGGTTGCTGTAAAGAACCTCTTAGCCAAAGGGCTTGTAGATTGAATATAGCACAAATGAGTTTCAAACCAAAGGTGCACGTAACAAATGGTTTAGTTTGTTTCTCAGTCGAATATTTATAGGGTTGTTCCTCCCTGAAAAGAGAACTAACTTGATCCTCTCGGCAAAGTGTATTTTAAATGCCAGGATTTCTACAGTATATTTTCGGCTGGAGCGTTTGAGATTTTTAAAGGAGTATCACCCCAGTCATGAGAATATTTCTGGCTAGGCACTTGGAATGGGGTGGCTCTATGCTGTTATTGTAAACAAACAAAAACGAAACAACTCTGTGGCAATCGTTGGATATAAAAACTCAACGGTGTATTTTTAGAGTGCAGTCACGTTTATATACGTCCGTATATCTTTCACTCTGAAGGTTAAATGCATGGTAGACTATTTTGACCATGAAGAATAAAGAAACAAACGAATATGTCAAAAGTATAGGAACCTCTTAGGCCTAGGCTTTACGCCGTGCTACTGCCGCACTAAACTTCTTTAAGTTCGGCACGGCAGTAGCACGACATTTAGTGCGATTCGGCTCGGCAAACTGAATTCGGCACGGCAAGCCCTTAGCTCGACAGGGTATGCCCCGCTATCTTTGTTCTAAATGGAAGTGACACGACACTGCTCTTTTAAAGTTCGGCGTTTATCGCAACTGCCGCGCTATTGTCGTGCTGTTGCCACATTCACTTGAATGAAGTTTGGCACAGCAGTGGCACGGCGTCTAGTCTTGTCCTTAATTGGCAGGTGTATTCCAGTAGTTTATATTTCGGCACAATTGTACAAGACGTCAAAGAATCTTTAAATTATTTTTAAAGGCAGGTTACTTCTCATAATTCTTTAGTTAACGACGATATAAATGGCCTCCGAGCCATTCCATCGCCACAATATTGGGATGTGCAACCATGGTTTCCAGCTAAAACCATTCAATAGTTACAAAAAATAGACATCCGGATTTTGACACTGCATGACTATACTTGTAATTAACATAAAAGATTAACGGAACGTAATCTCTAAAGTATTCACCTTAGCCAATGCGAATATTCAAAGTCAAGTTTCAATTGGTTTGCATCCATTTAGGCCTAAATGAACTCTCTCTTGGAGTTCAGACAGCATTTTTAGCTTCATACTTTCACGCAAATTACAATGCTATTCTGGCGTCAATTTAATTAGATTTTCATTCACCCCTATACTTCCAAAATGTTTTTTTTCTACAGGTTGCTATATACTCGGCACTATACATACCAGGAAATGGACGCACAATCACGCTGATGTTAGCGGGACCAGCTCATATTACTAAATTCAGCGGTATACATGTACATGTATATTAGAATTTATAAACAGGTTAGTTGCTCTTTGACATTTAGATATCTGAAGACATTAATTCAATTATCGATTAAAATGCGTTCATGTTGGCTACAAAACACCTGCCGTTAAAGTATGACGTCATTTGTCCGCCACAGTATATAGTACATACAGAGGACCAGTGTGACTTCTCAAGCGTTTCACTTTATTAACCAATGTAAGTGTTCACTTTAAGTCAACAGGAATTATCTTGCAGAGCAAAGCATGGAATGAAAACACTCTTGAATGAATATACCACAAGTCAATAATGTCCAAGTACGCAGAGATATCAAAAAGACACGATAACAAACGAATAGTTGGAAGTTAACGTTTCAAGTGGTATGTTTTGAGCATGTCCAGTACAAGATAAACAGCTATACGCCTGGCCGGTCTAAAAACAAAACTCATACTTATTCAAGACGCGTCTGTTTTACAGCACACAAAGTATGATATAAAAAAATTAGTACCGTCACACCATTATGACATGACATGTCAAAATATAAAACATGGACTTCTTGACAAATACTCAGAAACTGATCCGTATCTACGAACACAAATTAATTGGAAATCCCATCCATCCTCCATCCTCGGTTGTCTTTATTTACAAAGCAAAAATTAATATCATGGCAGACAATAACAATGACTTTTGGATACGAAATGACAAGGACACAATATATATTTGCCCCACTGTTGTCATGTCTCACTCTCGATATACAGCTTGGATCCGCCCCTCTCTAAACCCTTCACCGTCACATGACGGTCAGCCGATCAATTCCCTTAATTCGAAACACCTAATAATGTTTTCATTCCATTAATTTTGATACAGTAAGCTTGACTTCACGACAGGTAATAAAAAGCACATTGCCACCCTGTGGCTTTACGGGAAATCAATCGAATAATTTTTCAATATCAAGCATTACAAGTGTCTGTCACAACTCAACAGCCTTTCTAGCACATCATCTCGTGATTCAACAATGGAATAATATGACCAGCTGGTTGCCCACTGATTATGGCTAAAATAACTGAAGAGGTGATATAGCGAAATGACAGGGTACATATACTCTAAATGTATAAAGGCAGCAGTGGCGTAACTGGGGATAAATGTCGGGGGAAGGCACTCGGGTGCATGGGCATCTGCTGGGGGGGCATATCCCTCCGTCCCCCCCCGAAGTTACACCACTGAAAGGCAGTTTGGAGGACATTTGACACACAAAAAGAAGATATATGTTTAAGAGAAAATAAGACACAAATCGGTGGCCAATAAATTCCAAAATTACACGGGCATGGCTGTAGACTATAACATGAAGGGCAAGAAATGTCTCGATCTTTTTGCAAGAAGTTAAGAAAACTATTTTTGGAAAGCACATTTTAATGTGCTGATGTGTAATTCAAACTTAAGAGCTGCATTGTGTAGCAATGTTTTTTCCTGACTCCGCGTGATTATACACCATTGAATCTTTAGGGTGGAAGGGAGTATTATTTAATCTCCATGCATAATTTCCTCGATGCATTGTAATAATTACATCAAATGCCCGTTTAACTTATAACGTTTAATCCAAACTATCACTAAAGTCCCTGGTATGTTGCAAAATTGAAACATTAATTAACTTTACTGTGGGTCAATGTCAGCATTCACTGTCTCAACCAAGTACAGCGCATAAGTAAAGATACTTACTCTGTTGTCTACTTGGCAAGTCACGAGTTCCTGTATAACTATTATTACTTTTTCCCGTGAAGTACACAACGCATTTGCAACACAACAGAAACCTCCAGAACACGTTTCCTTTCCAACAACCAAGGATTACGTAGTCACGGTGGTCGTTCCTAACTCTCTAAGTCCGCATGCACCAAATACATCCGCCGTGTTCAGAGCTTCATCCTCCTCGTCTGATCCCCAAGACGATTTGGTAGATCAGTGTACAACTGAAGTGTGGTCTATCTCCCCTTAAGTGATTAACACGCAAGGTGCAATCAAGCAGAGTATATCCCACGGCCAGACAGACGTGTAGTTGGTCCGTTCCCAGTGCGGTGTACACATTCAATATAATCAACCCCCTGGGAACTCTACTGAAAGAGCAGTCCTCAATTCATATTCATAGAAGTATTTCTTTCTGTGCTCGGGGTCAAAGCATGTAATCATTACACACTAAAAAATACAGAAATGGTGTACACTTTTGTAAAACCCAGACAACATCAGCCCTGGGGAGTTAGCTCGCTTGAGACGACTGTTTTCAACGGAGTGAAACGACTACAGATGTAGTGTATGTTTTATTAAGCTCCCTGTACGGTCCGATTCCGACGCAATGCGCTGGGTTATCATAACCTTCAACCTTACAACAATTCATTGCAAGTTTAAAATATCTGCCCTTGGTGCTCCGAATAACAGCTGAAAGTGTCATACTGGCAACCGTATCACGTGATAACGGTGTTGTATTTTTAAAAAGGAAAGGACAGTGCGTACTTGCGATAATACTCTGAACCTAACAAGAAACGCCTCACATGAAAAAGTATTACTTATTTAAATTTCATTTCCCTCCTATGCGCTCTTCTGAACATATTGGTCTCTCTTTTTCAGTGTTCGTCACCACATTTCGTCATGACATATTTCGTAAA